TGGAAAATTTGACATTTGTGAACCTTTTATATATTTTTAAAGATTTTTGCATCTCGATAAACAGAACATTGTTTTTTTCAAAAATAACAATGTATTTGTCATATGCTGTGCTGGTGTTTTCAATTATTCTTGCAAGGGAGAGTAAACTGGCTTCCATGCTAGAAATAAGAGGAAATCATGAGATATCAAGAAATCAGGAAATCAGATTGTTCCCCCTTAATAATTTATTAATAATAGAAATGTAAAAAAAGTTCTACTTTCAAAAAATATCTTGTATTTTCTCAATACTATGTCTTTTTTTGCGACTAGAATTTATTCACTAAATGAAATTATTCAATTATCGGCTTGATTTTTATCAAGTAGAAAGTATAGTTACTCATAACGCTTAGTTAAGTTATGAGTTGTGAGGAACAGAAATATTTGTAATATGAATTAACTAATATTTAAATGAGAATCTTTTTTGTTAAGTTAATGTGTATAGAATAAAATAGAATTGGCAAGTAAAAATTTGTAATAACGATTACGTATGAATCTTTTATGTTGATATGAAGTTTGAATTTTCTCCTTACATTTTGTTTCTTTCTATTAGAATGTATATTTTACCTTTATTTTTCATTTTCATATGATACTTAAATGCACATAGACTTCTCTTTTCATTTATTTCGTTTTATATTAACATATTATCAAAATATCTGTGTATTTCATCTATACTTTTTATTTTCATGTTATGCTTGGATACATGTTTCTTCTTTGACTATGATCGAACATCAGGATTTCTTTTTTCTTTTTTTCTGTTTAATTTCTATTGAGTTTTTGAATGTTTTTCATCGTGTAAACTGTATAAAAAAGAGTAGAATAATAAATCTTAAAACTAGGTGAGAATAAATGGGTGTGGGTGTGGGTGGGTGAGGGTGTGGCCATTTACATTGTTTCACACCCACACTCTAAAGGGACTGAAAGGAGTAAAGGGATTAAAGGTACTAAAAGGACTAAAGGGTGTAGACCATTCTTTAGTTACACAGCATAAAAGTAAACCATAATAACTTTAATTCTTCGTGGACCCCTCTGATATTACCTTTTTCTATTGACGTAACTATAGTCCAGTAACTGTAACAGCAACTGTTGATGTACTCAACCTTATTTTCTTATACGATAAGGAGAAAAAACCCATAAACTTTCTTTATCTGTTCTTTTTTTTACTTGCATATTGAAAAAACGAGTTGAATGATAGTTTCATTTTTTAGAGAAAAAGATAAAAGCTTGCGATTACGGGTGTGGATGGGTATGGGTGAGTATGAGTATCAGTATTACACGCATCACATATTCACACACATCCACCCACAGTTTCACTCACACCCACACCCACATACACACCCACACACACACACACACACACCCACCCACACACACCACACCCACACCCACACCCACCCTAACTGTTATGTTTTAAATAAATGTATTACATAATTAAAAAAGTCTAGTTTTAAAAAAGTTCAATTCATAAAAAAATATTCATTCAATGGATATTGATCGCGGGACAAATATACATGGCCACACATCTACATGTTGGCATCAATATTCTGTCTTTTCTCAATCACTAATCAAAATCGAATCAACTCATGTTACAGGCGTTGCTTCAACCTTATTTTCTGTTTATATACTATATCAATAATTGATCTTCATGAGGTATTGAAACTACCATCTCTATCAGAAAAATTTGAGAAAAGCTTTAAAAAAGAATGAAAAATATGCAACTATATGAACAAGATATGCTGGATGGGTGTGGGTATTATTTTCAGTCGACACCCATATCGACACCCTCACCCACACCTGTTGGATGGCTACTTATCTTCGAACATTCGATCAACTAAAAATCATATTCTCATTAATGAAGAAATTATCAATAAAACGTTTTTTTACTTGTTTATTTATTATATTTATATAGATAATTTCAGTGTCTGTTTTTTTTCTCTTCCTAAATAATTTCCATAGATAGTAAATTATACATGTGCAATAAGTAGTTCATCATCTTGAAACATAATCGATAGTAGATTTGTTTTTGAGTGAATGCATTTTTTTCCGATTTTGCACTGATTCAGAAACATCCGTCTAAAAACACATAAAATCTTATTTTATTCATAATTTTATCACAGAACTCACCGGAAATGTACTAGTATATTCATCAAAAGGAATAAAATGTGCACTAAAATTCATGATAAGATGATTTTTTTGTTGTAATTTGTGACAATGCACACGAAGCGATATTTAAAGCTGGAGAAGTCTCAATGGACGCTTCGTCAAGATTAAATCTGTATTGATATTTTGATAAATGATACCATACTATCGAACACTTGGTTGACATTGTTGGCAGATTTTCTTTGAGAGAGAATGAATTTAACAAGAGATATTCGTCGTAATCTTTGTCTAATTGATAATTAGTTCATTAACGTTCACGTCAAAATTGATATATGTAAAAATGTAAAACATTCACAATAAATCGATTAACATCGCTTTTTTTGACAAAATCCATTCAAAACCAGATGATTTTGTTTTTGATTGTTTACCTAGAGGATTCTTCTGATATAAAAATTGAGATGCTGAAGTAGATTGTTTACCAATTAATGATCTAAATAAAATGATATAATTTGATATTAAATTCCAAACAATATAAAAGCTCATAAAGAAAAATAAAAAGACTACTATTTATTTTATTTGCTAAACCTGTTCCTTCAGTAGAAGTTATTTAATAATTTAATCTGCTCTTCTTTGCGTCGGACAGGTAATATTCAAGAGTACTGTGTTCTTAATCGATCACAAATATTTTAATCATCTACACTCTAAAAAATATTCGGTATTTGTTACTATCGGAAATTCTCTCCGGATTTCCGAAGACTCGGAAACACCTAAGAAAAGGTTTTGGATGACTCGGAAACTCAGAGAAAGTTGCCGAGACCCTCTCATTGGTTGAGCGAGCGACCACGTAATATTCAAACACTTGTAAATATTCGAATATTACGTGATCACTCGCCCAAGCACGAGAAGGGTCCTGGCTACGCAACTAATAGAAACTACTGAATAGTGTTTGTGTCTCAATCCCACTATTGATAAGACATTATGTAATGAAAAATTCAAAAAATGACCATGATTACATAATAAACCAATTTGTATAGTGGATTTTATTACAAAATGTAAACATAAATAAAGCATCTTGACAATTTTATGATATATCTTCATCTTATAATGACCGAGCTGTAAAAGTTTTAACTTCTTTATGTAACTATTAATCATTTTCATCTTGTGTATGTGTATGTGTGATATTGGTTTGGTTGCGAGTCAACCTTAATACCTACACCCAACAACAAACTGAAGCGTATTGCTCTTTAATCATGGATGAAAGGGCTAAAACTTTTGAATGAAGAAACAGTTTCAAGGTTTCAATTGTCACCTTATTTTTGCTAAATTCAAAGTCAATGTTAAAGACAAGTTTTATCGATTAGAATTTCCATAGATGGTTCATATCTGCACTATTAAAACTTAAGCAAATCTATTCGTAATTAATTATTTCAGAGAATTAAGTTTCCTGTTATTATCATTCATAGATCTTTTTTTACGTCTAACAACTAAACGAATCTGCCCGATATGATTTTGAAATTTTCTTCACAAGAATATATGTATGTAGAAAACAAAGTTTTGTATTGTATTTTATTACATTGGAAAACTTTCTACTGATTATATCTCTATCTTGAGGTTGGATGTGAGTTTGCGCATTGTATTCTTCCTTTATTCACACCCACATCCTTTTGCAAATTTATTCAAACTTCATCAGTCTCTTATTATTGATAACAATATCTTATGAAAATCGAATAAAATTATTCATAAAGTATTTACAGTATAGAGCCTCACTTTTATTTTGATTTAATCTTCTCGAAATAATACAAGCAGATTTTTCAAATATTTAATGTATAATACTATCTATTTATTGTATGTACCATGATTATGTTCAACAATTTCTAATTAAGACAAAAACAATTTAACCAAGTGAAGAATTAATTATTATCGATTTTATGAAAATATTGTAGTGTATTATATTCATATCAATGTATAATGCAGAAGTACAGAAAACGAGCTATTTGTTTTAAGTAAAATAAAAATAAAATACTATTCATACAACAAATGATGATTAGAATGAACAATACTAAATTATTTAATTTTTGATGGCATTCACACTGAAAATACAATGAATCTGCTATTTTGATCATTTTTTCAATGATATAGTGAGTAGTAATTTTAATTGAAATAGTAATCTAATACTTCATTTTGATGAGACAGAAGCTTATAAGACAAGCAGAATAAAATATGACTCATTATACGGCAGATAAAAATGGCATTTCCATTTTTTTTTTGCTAAGAGAAGAATATAAAAAAAAGTGACAATGTTTGACTGTCAACGACATTTTTTTTATAATCTGTTAGAAATAAGATAAAAGATGTATTTCCATAGCGTCGTTTCTTTTTCTAACGCTTCTTCTTTTCATTACTTTGACACACTTTTAAACGCCATCCATCGAATCAGAGTTTACTCTTCATGCAATAGATTCTATTTTGACATTTATCATCGATGAAAACCTATCTGAAATAAAATATTTTGAGACTATAGTTGTCGGCATTTGTAGGATACTCCAGCACCCACATCCTCAAGATGGTTTACTTTTTAAATGGATATAATAAGTATATACGATTGTAGTACAAAACGTTCATTCAATCTCTGTAACTTCTCCTTTTTTTCTTTTTGCAATTAGAATACAAAAGAAATTGTTCATCAAAAGAGGGAAATTACAATTTTACGTTCTTCGAGAAGACAAAAAGAAAATTGCATTCCTAATGACAGAAACAACTGTATGAGATTTGTATATATATAGATTATGAATAATGAACATTATTTTACTTCAGTTGACATTCCCCATATTGCACCTAAGTGACAAAAACTGTTTTAGATATTTATGCAGCTGATATTGAATAAATCATGTATTTCAAAGCGATCATTATTATTGGTAATTTTTTGTGCATGTCTTTTATCTATTATAGTTTATACAAATTTTATTAATATTTCTCCATATAGTTTCAATATTTCACATAATTATACAAGTAAATATCCATATATAGCATTAATTGTTGATGATCGAGCAACTCAATTACTTGTTAATGCTGTTATAAATGTTTTACAACATATTCCAATTGATTGGAAAGTACAAATTATGACACCATATCAACATTGGTTATTTTATAATAAATCTTCACTTAGTTCATTAATTCAAACTAATCGTGTTTTTTTAACACCATTAGAACAAACACAAAATGGTTTATCAAGTGATGAATTTATTAATTCTATTTTAACTTCTGTATCATTTTGGCATCAAGTTCAAGGTGATAAAGTATTATTTTTTCAAATCGATTCTGTTCTTTGCTCAAATTCTTTATATAACTTAACAGATTTTTTACAATATGATTTTATTGGTGCACCTTGGTATATAGGTGGTTGTTGTAATGGTGGACTTTCTATACGAAATCGACAAAAAATACTTCAAATGCTTGAAAGTGGTCATATTCACTATCGATTACATGAATTAAATGAAGATGGTTGGTTTACGAAGAATTTACCTTATTTTAATGGTTATGTTGCACCTATTTCAATTGCAAAAAGATTTGCAGTTGAAACTATATATCATTCACGACCATTTGCTGTTCATAAACCTCATACTAGTACAATAGGACGAACAAATATGAAACATTTATGTAATGAATGTCCTGAAGTTAACACTATTACTTCCTATTGTCAAACATTCAAATAAATAACATAAAACTTCTGAATATCATATGATTGTTTTAGTACAAGTATACATAAGACATGTCGTAAATAAAAACAAACATTACATTCGATAGGTAATAACGAAAAATATATTAAATATCATCCCAAGAATGAATTTGTCTTGGTTCTTCCTTTAATTGATTTGATTTTGATGTTATAATAAAACCATGATTAAGATTTATGGATGATGAATTTGTTGGTATATGATATTCGGATAAAACGGAATCAATATCACGATGAGAATTGGTTGGTATTGGATCAGCATTTGCAGTTTTATGATCACTATATAATAATGAATGAAGAGTCTTTAAACGATTTGATGGATTTATCTCATTATTTACAGTTGCTTGATGAGAACATAATTTTTGAAGAGATGATGTAGATTTCGAACTCTTTGATCTAATAAAATATTTAATTCGAATGATGAATAAAACAAAAGGTTTAGTTTTCTATTTACTTTGAAGTACATATAAACCAAATGAGAACATTGATAACAATTAAAAACACAATAACAACTACAGTGAATATAATAATTAAAGTCATATTTAAACGTGGAGATGATGTTGTATTTGGTAATAAATCTATTTAAAAGAAAAAAAATTTCATATTGAAGTATTATAAAATGAATTATTGAAACTTTGTGATAGTTGTTGTTTATTAATTGATAAAATTTCCTATAAAAAACAATTTCAATAAATATTATTAGTTTTCAAAATATTTTTTATAGACTTTTTCAGTTTCAATCGTCGATGAAATCAATCGTAATCGTTTTGATAAATTATTCGAATTAGTAACAACTAATTCTTCATTCACGGTATTTTGAATTTGTACAGAAGATTTTTTTGATATGAAATTATTGGATATTGTCGATGAATTTGAAAGTGATGTTGCATAACATTGTAATCGAAGAGTAGCATTATTTGATTCTGGTGAAAGAGAATATTTCATTAAAAATCCACCTTGATTTATATTTTTTAATGTATAAAATCGAAATGTAACATTTTGTTGAATATTTCCAATAAGTATAACTGGATTATCTGTCAAACATTTTGTTTGAAAATTTTGTCCAAACCAAAGATTAAGACCAGCTTCAGCACAAGTTGGTAAATGAAAATCTATGATTTCAAGAACAATTGAATGACTTGATGATGTATATAATGTACATAAACAATTAAGATTTGATACAAATCCATTTGGATAATTAGGTGTTGAAAGAAAACCATGTGATAATGTTATATCTTGTGACTGACAAATATTTTGTAATGAATATTCTAGAACAAAAAAATGATTTAATTAATATTTTATTTTTATTTAATTTGAATGTCTACCTGTAATACATTCATATTCAGCTTGAACATAAGATGCAGCTAAATTCCAACAATCTTGTAATATTAATGGATATTCAACAACATGAACTGTACAATTTCTTATTGATGAACAAATAATATCTTCGCGTGGCACATCCATTGTACAATCTTTATCATTATATGAACATTCATTTGACCATGAATAACCATATATAACACGACCTAATTTAATTAATTGATTATTTGGACATTTAAGTGATAATGTACTGCTTTCAATTTCATCCAAACAATAACTTTGAGTTAAATAACCAAACTGAGTACAAACTAACGAAGATAAGTAAAAAAAGAGACCTATGAATAGATTTCGCATCTTGTTCAATTGAGACAAAAAAACTGTTTAGATCAATGATCATCTTGATTGTATGTATAAACATTGTCCAGACAATAGATAAATACTTATTGGATCAATGCTTGTATGTTCTTCTCTTAACGATAATAAAATACTAACATTGATTTTATAATTTTCAATGATTTCTTAATTTCTCCTAATAGATTAATATCATATTAGTAATTAGCATTATTGATCAACGTTTATCTTACCATTTTGTCTAATATGAATATAACATTTATGTAATTATATAATCTAACAAATTTACAGTTACTTAGTTATTTACATGATTAAGATCATTTTGAATGCTTTGCAAGTATTCATTCATGTTTAATCTTTGTATCTACATACAATCTGTATAATTATTGTCTTTTTCACATACATTAGTTGACATGCAAATGGTACTGAATAGAAGAAGAAGAAGAAGAAAGAATTAATTAGATATTCGCTATTTAACCATTAGATGTAGTAAGAATAAGAAAGATTTATTGTACTGATACTAAAAGAATCTATTTGTAGACGAATAACAATTGAGGAAAAAAAAAACAATAAAGAAAAATAATATTTATATAACAAAGAACATAGCTATCTAATTCATAGAAGATACAAATTGTTACACATATATATCAATAATTCTTACGAACAATTGTAGGTTGTTTTTTTTTTGAATATATTGTTTTCTTATTTTTAATTAATTCTTATATTATATTAAGTTAGGTAAATTAGATTGATAAATGAAATTTATAATGACAGCATGTTAAAAATCCCAAATGATTTTATCTTCTATTCATTGTATTGCATAGTTGCACTCCCAATTGTCTATCGTTCGGAAAAGACAATAATACAAAAAAATTAAATCTCTTGAGAAAGATAATCATCAATTGTTTAACTGTGAACAAGCATCGAAAATACAGAAAAAAAAAGACTTTATTACAATGATAATCTATCTCAATAGAACAGAAAAGGAAAAAAGAGAAAAGGCAACGATAATAAGATCACTTCATTAGGTGAATATCAAATGTTACTGAAAATATATATATGATATTGGTATGTATCATAGTTAAGATAGTGTCTTTCGAGAAAGAAACTAGAAATGTTAGTTATGGTAATCATATATCAACTTGATATCCTTTGATGTTATCAGATCAGAATATCAATGGTATTGTTTTTTCTTCTTAAGGAAGTTTGAATTATTGATTAAAGATCGTCAGTTGTTTTCTTTAGAATTGATCGTTGAGTTTCTTCAGTGTTTTTTTTGTTATCGGCGTATATATTATAAAAGAAAATTAATTAACTTGAAACTTATTTTCATACGCTAAAATTTAATTGAATATTCTATTAACTATTCATTGTGTTTTTTCGAATGAGAAAATTTTTTATTCAGAGAATAAATAAGAAAAAAAACCCTATTCTTTTTTTCCTGTAAGGGGTGTGATATGATCACATCATTAGATCATTTTTTCTCAATAAAAAGAAAAATAACAAAGAGTCATAGTTACTTGTTTTTTTTTCACTTCGATATATATCTGTCATAATATATTCATTTCTTATGTGTCATGTTTGATTAAAACCAATATTGAGGCGACTAGAAGGACTATAACGTTATGCTATATTAGTTTCTCAAGAGACTAAACAAGTCTATGCATACTTGTAGACTACAAATGAAAAACTATACGATAGTAGAATGAATATTTTTCTTTTGTTGCATGCTTTTTGTTCTTTATATACGCACACATCTATGTTTCACTTAAATTAGCACAGAGAGTAATATAAGAGCTTTCATTTAGTTTTTTTTGACGGAAATTTGAGAAAGACAATTGTTTGTTCTTCACCAATTCAATATTTTATAAACTATTAGTTCTATTGAATTTGTTTTATATATATATATATATACTTTTTTTTTCTTTGTGTCTTAATCTTTATTAGACATAAATATGGGTAATAGAACAGCTAAATCATCTCTTGATCCAAATCTTTTGGATAAATTAGTGGAAGAAACAGGCTTAGAACGTGAAGTTATTATTGCTTGGAGGTTTGTAAATAAAAAATGTATGCGATATTTCTTTTGTAATATATATATACCTTTTTTTTTTAGAAAACAATTTTTATCGGCATGTCCATCGAATAAAATGAATCGAAAAGATTTTTATAAATTTTATCGTTCATTACGAGTTGAATCTGATGATAAAGTTAAAGAAATTGTTAATTTTATATTTACAGCATTTGATCGTGATTCAAATGGGAAAATTGATTTTACGGAATTTCTTTGTAAGTTATTTCGATTAATATTGAATTTTTGTTTTTATTTGTTATTTTAAGGTGGTTATGCAATAACATCATTGGGGACAATGCGACAAAAACTTGATTATGTATTTGCAGTTTATGATAAAGATAAAAATAATTCAATTGATAGAAAAGAAATGGTGAGAGTTATATCGGCTATGTATGATTTATTAGGAAAGTCCAGAGAAGATTATCCACCAGAACGTTGTGTCAATGATGTTTTCTCATTAATTGATGTTAATAATGATCATTCATTAACTAAAGATGAATTTATTGATGGTGTTCTAAAAAATCCCTATCTTTCTGATCTTATTTCACCATTTAACGAATAAATGTGTTCTTATCTGTACAATTCAGACATATATATTTATGTCTATCTTTCTCGCTCGTCGTTTTTTTTCTATGGTGCTTTTATATGTACTTTATTCTAACACGTTTGTCTTTGTATATATATATATATATATATAATTACTAGTATATCATAAACTAACAATTCTATTATCTCTAGAGACATAAAATCAATGACATTGATTAACTAAATATATAATATGTTGAGAAAGAATGAATAGATATTGAAGAAAATCATCATATTAATTTGAATATATTCCCTATGTTAGAAATCGATATTTTATGAGTGATAACGAAAAAATATAGTCTCGAATATTTTTATTAGAAAAATTAAATAATTCATTTTTTGTTAAATTATGCTTTATATTCAATTATTTATCATTGAATATACATTGCATTCTACATATATTTTTTTCAAATAGAACTATAGTAACATAATATCAATTGAATTATACTCGATGATTTATGAATATTATGACGTTATTAATAAATTCATTCAATTGCGTTTGATTAATTTCGAAGAAAAAGAATGACATTTCAAGGATATTAATTTTCTAATAGTATAATCACAATTGTTCGATTAATTCAATGAAATAAACAATTGAATATCAATAATACTTATCAAGAGAATGAACGGATAAATGTGTAAAATAAAAACGAATTACATATTGACGCAAGTGTATTTATATAAGAAAACAAAAAAAAGAAAGAAAGATTGGTAAACCTTTTACAAGAGAACGAAGAAAAATAAACATAATGTCAGAACACATGTTGTAATCTATCTGTCAACAAAACAAAATTGTTTTTATTTTCGTTAGAATATCATGGTTAATTGTGAGGAATCAACATGTACTAATATTCAATCTGCTATTTGTCTTCATTGTCTTCGTCGTTTATGTTCTATGCATATTCTCGTTCACGAAAAAATTATTTCCAAAGAAACGAACGAACTTTATGAACAAATAGATGAAGTAGCCGAACAATTAAATGTTTCTTTACAACATATTCATACAGCTTATGAAGAAAGTAGACAAAAACTTAATACTTGGCGACAAGATCATATTGATAAAATTAAACAAAAACATACAGAACAATATCAAAAAGATAATCTTACTAAATTAGAAGATGAATTAACACAACGACTTATAAAAGAACAACAAGATAGTACACAATTAGAATTGAATGGAAATAAAATAGATGAATCTTCTGTAATACAAATGAATTCATCTCAACAACAATATACTAGTAACATTTCAGAATATCATAATAATACTCCAGTGGCGGATCTAGGATTTTGGAAGGGGGGCGATTTTTTTTGAGTATGGAGGGACGATACCTGGGAAGGGGGCGATTTTGACTAAAAGCTATTTGCTGAGTCCAATCGAAGTAGTGTGGACCTATTTTTTCGTTCATTTTTGCTGTAAAAAATCAAAAAAAAATTCGGAGGAGGGGGGCGATAGGGGTGATTGCCCCCCCCCCTCCCCCTAAATCCGCTACCGTAATACTCCTATATATTCAACAGGTAATTTATATTTCATTCTTATCATATTTTTTACGTAGACTCTCAATTATTAGCAACTAATCGAGCTATATCAAGTCCTTCAAATCAGACAATATCAACAACTTCGCCTTTGTCACGAACTCCAATCAAACGTCCTATAATGTTCTCATCAAAAAAAATTGTCAAATATTTTAAAAATATATCTGGATCTGATGATCAAAATCTAGAGGATTACATCGTTAAAGTAAGTAATTAATGATTAGAAAAATGAAATCTATATAATTGTAATAGGATCTTCATAGTTTATCACATGTTAATAATATTATGCTTGTATTTCTTTCACTTTTTGATGCTTGGCATTCACGAAATTTGTCAACTGTATACAATGATCAGAGCCTGTCTTATCATATTAAAAATCTAAAAAAATATATTAAACAACAAGAACATCAATTAACAGTAATTGCAGCTATTCAAGTATTTATTAATAATTGTAAATATTCTGATAGTCAATCAAGTATGATAATCTTATTTTTACAAAAATGAATTCCTATATTAAAATTTTATTATAGATACAATGTTTACTAATTTATTTCAATTTTTCTTAACTAATGAATGTATTACTAAAGAAACTATCATTGATTGGTATAAAAATGGTGATTATTACGGTTATGAAGGCTTTCAAAAAGCAAAATTATGGGCGCAATCATTCTTTAAAGATTTAATAGATAATCCTTTGTAACTTGTTTCATTAATAAGATTATTCTAATCAGATTAAATTCTTGTTTTTGTTATATTTCAAGGAAAAAATTGTACATATATTTAATATCGTAGACAAAAATTGCATAATTTTCTTTTTATCCATTCCCAATAGCACACAAAATCATTTTCTGACTTTCGTCATACAGTTCCAGACTATAGCATGATATAGAAGAAGAAGAAGAAAAAAATGATGCTGACAAGTGTCTGATGTGTTTTATTTTTAATATTGAACAGTAGACAGTCGATCGTAATCGTAATTTTCTTAATGATAATTTGAAGCAAAACAGAACATAGAATATCTTGTATGTTATATATTCAGACATAAAACTAACGTACAGATGGATAGAACAGTTGTTTGTCAGAATAATGAAGATGATTAGCTTATTCTTTACACAAACGAAGAGAAATCATCTTGTGTTTATATATATTCTACATGTGGTCAAGTCGAAGAAAATATTCTATTCTGATGTAAACTGTTGATTTCAATCAACGTCATCTCATATAAATGATCATGGTCTTTATAATAACGTGCACTTTCCATTGAGTAGTCAGTTAAATGAATACAAATGTACATGACAAGTAATATCAGTTTGACATATTTTGTTATATGCACCAAATTATTATTGATCAATCTATTCTTTTCCTTAAAATAATGATAGATTTATAAAGATATTCTAATGAATTTTTCATCTCGTCATCATTGATTAGTAAAGATCAACTATGTATCACCAATTAGTCTACCATTCTTCTCTAGCATTTTTTTTTCTCATCAATAAATTTTATACTAGCTCATCATCGTTATAGTATGTATAAGTGCTCGAAGGCTCTGTCAACTGCAACTCGTTTATTTTGTCTGAGTAAATTAGAAAGTGAATATTGAACACGCTTCATATGATTGATTGAAAAAGAAAAAGATAATGTATACTTTCTTATACATATAGAAGAGCTATGAGGAATCGACATTATTATGTTGGTCAATCTTTTTTCTTTTGTATTCATTCATCTACATATGAACATTTATAACAAAACAAAGAAAGTAATGGTGCGTTACGTATTATATGAGTCTATTCGTTTTTTTTGTTTTGTTTTGTTTTGAATAGAGAAAATGAAAATTCAATTGATTTAGACGAAACAGCTTACCATCACCAATCAATAAATATTGTTTTTTTTTCTTATTCAGTTGGGAGATTTGCTCTTGTCTTATTCATACAATAGTAAGTAGGAGTATTGTTAATTCATCGCGTGAGTGAAAGAAGAGAGAGAGAGAGTCAAAGAGGAATATTCAGGATAGAACAATATGCTTGCATAATCAGCAAGTTCGAAGGATTAATATGTGTGAAAAGTATTGTTCATACAGTTTTATAGTAAGTAAATGGCATCTACTTGTCAATTTTTTTCATCGACATTAAGAATCTCGATTAGAAATTGAAGTATTACTGTTTTGATAGTATACCCTATGTGTAAGTATCGACATATAAAGTTAGTGCATCATCATCATCATTGTCCGACTCATTAATTTACAGTTCATTAATATTGCAGCCAGTGATTATATGAGAAAGAGATAATGAACTAAATGATAACAATAAGCTAATTATTAGACTGACTGTCTGTCTGTCTGCTTCTCTTTTACTCTTGTGACCTCTCTCATAAAATGCGGTGAAGGAAGAGAGAGAGAGAAAAAAGTGAATTTTTTTTCTTCTAAATGTATTCATATTAAATGAATGGTCCATCGATAATGTGTCAGAAGTCAACTATCAGTCATAAGTAGCCACAGGTGAGTGAATGTCCTCCTTCTTTCAAAATGTGTCAACTAATCATTTTTTTATAATAATGTTTGTATATGCACGTGTAGAGATATACATTAACTGTCTATGATGAACGAGAAAAGGGTGGAGACGAATATGAAATTGCAAAGAAATAAATCATGAAATCAACATAATGTATATTTATATTATATCTCATCACATTTACCGTTAGAAGAAAAAAAAAGAAACGTTTAACCTTCGATACACGTACGTAAAACCCACAGGGTTTAATATATATAAATATAATAAATAATAATATAATGTATAAAGATTTGCTTATGGCTATATCTTATGTTCATTATAGGTAAGAAAAAAAATGAAATGTCTATTCTTTCTTTCTTTTAGATGTATAATCATTTTTTTCTACTAAACAAATGCTAAACTGTCGTCTTCTGACGACAATCTATTTAACCGTTTTGCACACAATGACAAATTGTTTAAATGAAGATTCATCTATATCTCGAGAATTTATCAATGTCAATGTGGGCAAACGGATACGAATAGAATGTGAATTAAATAATTCAACTATAAATGGAAATAAAAAAGTAAAAAAAAATTCTTGGTAATTATCATAACATTTTTTTTTCTTTTCTTCTTAAGGGTTTATGGTTACGTTTAGAAGATGCTGAAGTATTTTTCTATTCGACAAGTCGTATTAATTCTGATCAACGTTTTCAAATTGAACAGCGTTCCAGTCTTCATATGATTAATAGTACATTATCCTATGAAATAATTACATATTCATTGATTATTGATGATATACATTTAACCGATGGTGGAACATATTCATGTCAAGCAGATAATAAAATAATCAAACTATTTATATTAAATATTGTTGGTAAGTACCTATTGATTTCTTGTAATATGTACTTTTTTCTGTTGTTGATTTAAATAAAGAACGACCTTATTTTATTACACATGAATATTCAACATTATTACGTACACAAATTGGAAGAAATATATCTATTACTTGTGAAGCACAAGGCAAACCCGATCCATATCTGAATTGGATGAAAAAAATCGATGGTAGAAGTTTTAATAAATATATTTTATTTCATTAATATATCTTTTATTAGAATACAATCAAAAAGTAATTGTTAATTGTTCAACAACGCCTACTACTTGTCAATTAAATCTTATTAATGTTGATCGTTATCATACGGGAATTTATGAATGTGTAGCAATGAATATTGTTGGAACAATTGGTCGATTTTATGAACTTGATGTACAATGTAAGATATAAATATAAATATAAAAGTGAATAATCTTCTTTTCTTTTGTCTTGATTAGATCCACCAGATGTTCATAGTTTAACAGAAGAATATTATCATTTTATTGGTGATGCAGTTATATTAGAATGTTTAATTGATTCGAATCCTGAACCAGATATACGATGGTTACATAGATATTCAAATGATATTAAACAAGAAATCGATTTATCTCGACAATTTTATCAAGAACATTTAGATAATAATAATAATCAAGATAATCGAATATGGTATATAAAACATGAACAGTTAAATGCAACAAGATGGAAAACAAATCTTTTCATTAAAGTAAATCATATTATTTTATAATTCGTAATAAAAATCTTATTTTTTAGCGTATTCCAAGACGTTTATTTAATTCGAATTTTATTTGTCGTGCAATAAATCATCATGGTGTTGGTGAACAATCAATAAATATTATTGAAAAACATCATCCATCAAAAAAACATCGACATACAACACCCGAACCATTCATTTCAAATAATACGACATTATCAAGTACAATAAGTATTAAAATTCAACACTATTTTTTTTCTTATTTTAAATTATATGATTTTTTTATAGAATTTATTTCACAAACGACAAATAATATTTATAATCGATCAAAAAAACTTTCACCATATCGATATTATTTATTTATTTTAGGATTATATTCATTTCTATCTTCTTTATATGTATAATAATAATAATGCTAATAAAAGAAATATATTTATATATCATCATTTCTCCGTCCGTCATTAATTGAACAAACAAATTATTCTTGAATTTATATTATTTGTCTTTAATTTTTTTATTTAGAGAACAAAAAAAAAAGGAGGAAAAACCGATATCTATATAGATTTCTCGTGGTTTTGTAATAATTGATATAAAAAAGAAAGAAACAATGAAAGTATTTTATTTGTTTTGTGTAGATAATGAATGTAATTGAGAGATAATTCGATCATAATGTTCGTTAAAAACCATTTTATTATATGTTATTAATCGAAGAAAAAAACTAACTGTTGTAATAACTTCATTCATAACAATATTTAATCCATTTGGTATAGCTACATTAGATAATGATGAACCACTTGTGGGATGATCCAAAAGATGATGAACAAAAGATAAATAACGTTGGACTAAATAGAATAAGAACAAAGAAATAAAAAACAAATTTCTTTCATTAGAGAATTTTTCTTATCGGAAAGGCTGACAGCTACTCATAGGGATGCAACGGTGATAGTCACCGGCCTAAGACGAAAACCGCTACAGGTAGGCAACTGTTTTTATTGTTTGATAATTCATATAATTATAAAGCGATGCTGACATATCGGTTAGTTATTGGAGAAGCTAGTAATATCACCATATAGGCATCAATATTCATGTTCTTCTATCGTATTACTGTTACGCATCTATGAGTAATCGATTCACACCGGTTATTGCTTTAGAATGGTTAACTGTATACGGTCAAGCGGTGAAAAACCGTAACGGTTGCATCCCTAGCTACTCAGCTGCGATATCTAACGATTTGTACACGTCTATGCTGGAGTGTTTAGCATCAGTAAATACAGAATTGAATGCTAATGTTTTAATTATTTTTGTTCTGTTTGAGTTGCACTATTGAGTAGCTGTCAGCTTTTCGCACGTTGTGTCCTTAAGAAAATATGACTTACAAAGTAATTTAAAAACTGCATGTTCAATAACATGATGTTCACCAATAGCTTTTATAGCATCTTTTATATTTTGTTCATTATCAGTAATAATTTTTGATTTATCATATTTTGCTAATTCATCTCGAGTTGTTTTAACAACTTGTTCACTGAGTGATATTAAGATTTCTTTTAATTTTCTATAGAAAACGAAAAAAAGAATTTTAATTTTTTTTACCTAAGAAATTAATAAAAGATAACAAACTTTTTTTGTGGAAAATCATCTAATAATATAATCATTTCTGATTTAAGCATTGTTTTTATTGATTCATAATCACGTAAAACTGAACCAGTTAGATGAGATAATACAGTCATTATTGTTGATATTAATAATAAACGCATTGTTGCTATATGTACTTGATTATAACGAATTTCATCTAATTCCAATGTCTAATAAATAATAAAAATATATGTTAGAAGAATTATAGAATGAATCAACGAATTACTTACTTCAGGAAATGTAAATTTTGTATTCCAAAGTAAAAGTTCACAATAAGCTTCATTAAGAATAGTTGAAGGACTTTCCTGTGGAGATGTTGTTGTTGTTGTTGTATCGACTGGTGCTTGATACCAACCAACAGTATCTTTTGTATTTAATCGATTGAATGCACGTTCAAGCCATTTATAAGTAGATAATAATGGATCAATACCCATAGCTGAAAAAAAATAGTTGAAAACAGGTTTTTATTTTTAAAGAAAAAATTTAAACCTCGTTGATTTTCCATAAATTTATCAAATGTTGATTTTTCATATGCAACTGCTTGTTGTTGTAATAAAGGACGATATTGTCGAATATTAAAATTAGCCATATCAAGTTTCATTAAACTTAAAACTTCCATAATACCTCTATAAATCAAAATAGAAAAAAAAATAAGTTGTCTTTTTCGAATATAAGAAATTAACCTAAAACATTCAGATGGATCATCCGTTGTTCGTAATTTTGCAATATTTTCATCTCGACATTCAGCACAAAGACTAGCCATCATATCAATAAAATATTTTGTATATTCATGAGGATCTGCTGCTTTTGCTTCGAATCGACGTTTTATTGTATCAAGATCAATTGCATCATCAATCTGAGCTTTCAGTGTAGTTTGATGAGGTAATACTAATGTTTTAAGATCCTTAATATATATAAAAATAAATCATTTGTAAAAAATTTTGTATTTGAAAATAGAATACGAACTTCTTTTGCTTCACCAATTAATTTAATAATATGTTCATAACGAGGTGGATCAGCAGCTAAATCTTCTCTTAGAACATCCCAAAATACTGTATGCATTGTATCATGAACTTTTTCAGCGATACTAAACAAAATAAAACATGACCGTATATATCGGCTTCTGCGAGCGTAACGCGATGACGTTTTGGTTACAGTTTTATTAGGTTTTCTCAACAACTAGATAGTGTAGAAGGCTCATCGTTTCGGTGAAAGATGTACCTCATTTGAACGAACCTTCTGAAAATTACAGTAAAAATATACGACGAAACGCGATGATGAATTAGGAACAAAAGATTGAGAGTGCTCCACTTTTTGCTTGTTTTTCTCGGAATATATTCTACTGTTGCAAAACTTGTCTATGGAGGCTGATATTTTTGTCACATTAATGTAACGCGATGACGAAAGTCAGAAAATAAAGTACTGTTTTTCTTTATGAGGGTCTTTGAGAACTTAATAGATGTGAGTCTGGTCTCTCAGTATTATAGTCTAGAACAACATCCAACTATTTGATGCTATACTATAGAAGATTCTTACCTTCCTTTTTCATATTCTGGTAATTGAAGTTGAAAATCTTTATTAAAAACAATTTCATGTGCAAGTTGAAGATTTTGTGCATTTCGATTTGCTTCCATTAATTGATTATAATCAATAAATCTTGGTGGTGAAGCTAAATAAACAAACTGAAACTAAATTCATTTTTATTATTCAATATACCTGCTGTAGCACCTGCCATATTATCTTGTGTATTAGGTAATGTTGGTGAAAGATTGAGCCAACCAAGTACTGCTCCTAATGGTCGATGTTGTTCTTCTTTTTTTTCATCATTATTTGTATTCGACATTGTAGAATAATCTTTAATAAAATAAGAAATAAAACATCGTTGAAAAGATATTAGATTTTTCTTAAAATCTTTTTTTATACAATGACAACAAAGAAGAGTATAAAAGAAAACAGGAGCAGTGGAATGAGTATCATTGACAGATTTCGTTTCAATTTTTTTTCTCTCCTTTCTCAATTCAGAAGGCGCATGCATACACACACATATATATATCTATATGAAAATTTGTTGTAAAAGATGATGATAATCATTGCACAGAAGAAAGAAAACAAAAACGTTAAAGTTGAAGAAAAAGCGCATAAATAAATCACTGTTTGCATAAAAACACACACACACACACGCACACTTCTTTTTTTTTGAACAAGAACAAAAACTGTACAAAGACGAAGAAAAAAAAAGTGTTAATAAACAATAGACAAACGACATCAATGTAAAAAGATAAAATATTTTGTTTGAGTTCTTTTTATTAGTTATAGAATATTTCTTTTTTTCGTGTCCACAGAGATCATTACACATCTGACTCGATGGTTTATTTGAATATCCATTAAGTTCCAACACGTCGTTGATTATTATCATTTGGAACATCCGAATCGACTCGAAAGACTTGTTTTATCCAGTTAGCAACATCTTGACTATCACTTTCGTTTTCATATCGTTTATAAAATGGATGATTCTAAAAAGAGAACAAATATATATATATTAAATCAATTAATAATATTCATATACTAAAAGTGTATTTAAATCAGCTCGTTCTGATGTACTTTTTTTCAAACTAAAATAAGAATAAATCAAATGAAGATGAATAAGAAAGAGAAATCAATTTACCAACGATCGATAAAATCACAAAAATCAGGAGAAAAATGTGTACGTGGTAGTGATGGTGGGTCTTCATTAATAATCCATTCCATTAATTCAAATATAGCTAAACTTTTATAACATCCATATCCTAAATAATTTTCAATTGAAGAAAACAATAAATTAATTCGATTAAAATTAACCTTCAGGTCGAGGACGATTTCCATGTGGATCTTCATGAAATAAATCATCAATATCTTTTGTTGCTGGCGGAGGAATTGGATATCGACCAACAGCCATTTCAACAAGTGAAAGACCTAATGACCATATATCACTCATTACTCCATAATGTGCACCTTCAAGTCTTTCAGGCTTAAAATAGAAAAGATTAAGATTTTTTGTAATTAAAAACAAAAACAACCAAAACTTACAGACATATACGATCGAGTACCAATAAATGTTTGTACTGTTGAATCAACTAATTGTGCACTAACACCAAAATCACATAGTTTTATTTCACCTTGTTGATTAACAAGTATATTTGATGGTTTAACATCTTAATGAATCAATAATTTGATTAAAAATATAGAGCAAGAAAAACAAAGATAATTTTACCGCGATGCATAATACGATGTCGTTCTCTTAAATAACTTAAACCACGAAGAACCTAAGAGAATAATTTTGTACTATTATTCAAAAGTATATTTTAGAACTTACAGCAACAGTAATTCTGCCAAGAATATTTTCAGGAATACGCATAAATTTCTTTAAAATCAAATCTAAAGAGCCACCGTCCTAAAAAAATATGCATAGAATTATTTGAACACTAATCTTTCTATCATCAAGCTCTTAGTACTCATATGCACATCTATTATATCAATCAATTTTATATTTACCATATATTCCATGCAAATACTAATTTGAGCTTCAACTGCAAATGTTCCATAAAATCCAACGATATATGGTGAATTACATTGATGAAGTACCTTCAATTCTCGAATAATTTGATTTTTTAACGCCGGTTTTACTTCCAAGTAGATGAGCTAAAATAATGCCGAAAAGAAAAACGTTAGATTTCCTTCGAATTGTAATAAATATCAAAAGAAAAAGTCTAAGAATGAATTTTTTTTCGAGCCATGCAACAAATCTACCTTCCCCGGTGAAAGTGTATTCCAAAACCAGTGACACCAATTGCACCAATGTAAATCAGTATTCATAAATGAACAATACTAAACAAGCCATGTAGCGATACAAGCAACAAAACAAAAGCAAAGCAAGCTAATTATAAATATCAGCATTTATAGCGAATCGAATCAAAGATTCAATACGATGTCAATGCTGGTACATATAATTTAAAAGAAAAGCAAAATTTTAAATCAGTTGACTGATTCGTGCTGAATGTTTAAATACGCAAAAATTCTAAAGTAAATAAATACGTACGAGGTAACTTATTATTCACGATACGATGACTGAGATATGACTCAGTCATCGATTATGCACGAATCAGTCAAGCGATTTAAGTTTTTGAAAATGTTGCTAATGTATAATTTCTAAATTCATGAACAAACCTTTCGAGCCATAATTTTATTTGTTGGTTTATGACGAACTTTCCAAACAACACCTCCATTTCCTTGACCTAATTCGCATATATTAACAAGATCATCTTGTTTTAATTCTCCAACAGCTCGTTTTGAATTAAAAAATTCTTCCATACGATCTTTTTGTTTGTCAGTACAATCGAGTTGTTTAAATTCCTCTTGTAAACGTTCAATACATACTTCCGGAATACTAAATTTTAAATAAATAAATAAATCTATACTTTTTTTTGTCATACCCATTTTCACCATGATTTTGTTCATTGGGATCTTTTGGTACTTCAGGTAATGTTAAACCTAATTTATTTTTACCTGATGATATTGCATCACCTCTAGGCATCGTTTTGTTATTAATAAAATAAAAAATATTTTTCGCAACAAATAAATAATAAATCTCACAGACAGAACAACAGATGATCAGTACCGTATATTTTCGTTAACGATAATAAACAATCTGATAGGAACGCCACATACAATGTTAATTTATTAATATTTAACTACATTTTATTTTATTTGAAATAAGAAAATAAAATCCAAGACATTGAATTAAGAAGAGATTTTATTTGAAATACATTTTTTTAATATAAAAAAACTTTATTTGTTTCTCATATTAACCAATAAGACAATATTGTACTCATGAAGGTAAAAAAGTATATGTATATCATTAATGCAAAGAAACATAGTTCATACAAACAATCACCAATGTTATATTTTCATTGAGAAAATCCTTGACCTTTTGTTACATAAATTTCAAGATGTACTTATTACATATTCTTTATCATTATGAAAGATTAGTAGTAGAATTACTTATCGATTGAAAGACTTGGCGTGAAATGGCAAAATCTTGTTAATCTATTAATTTGCGAAAAAAACTGTTTGCTCGAATATTTTGTCATGCTTTATATGTTGAACATAATGTAAGCGTAAAATGACCGGAGAAATTTTTCTATATGGATTGTAACAATAATTAATTTGTATTTTATAAACACATTCATGCTTTAATTATTTCATGTTCATCTAATCAAATGAATTAATATGAAATAAATCTTACAATTCTATTTAGACAGACCTTAGAACTATGTATACTTCAAATATCATTTTCCTTTCGATGGAAGCATCGTTCACCTATGAGCGCTATTGAAAAATAAAGAATCTGTACATACATAATAATAAATCAATTGATTGATAATGAAAAATATTTTACAGTAGATAATCTTGTTCATAGGCTAAAAATATATTTACTTGATCATCACGTATAAAAAGATGGAAAAAAGTATTTCTACGAAACATTGATAAATGTACTGTTTGCTCTTTCACTCATATTTTGAATTATATCTTGTAAAGAACACTTAAGAAACATCTGGTGATAATTTATTACAATGATTATGACTATTCAAAAATTAAATTGATACTAACAGAACATCTGCTTCGTTCCGGATATGCTTTGCCTTCAAAGAAGAGTTATCCGAGCTGATAACTATTCTTATCGAAATTGATATTATATATAAAAGATTGTAATAGAAAACATTAAATACCACGACGGCATGTATTTCTTTATAAATGAAAAATTGACTTGCAATGAAAAAAAAACCATAAATTGGAATGATAACACAGTTAAATACTGTTTTTTGTTTCACTACCACAAGAAAAAAAGAAAAAAGAAATTAAAGCATATGAAAAAAAAGAAGAGAAGAGAGAGAGACAGAGAAAAAAACTACCACCGTAAGAAGAAGAAAAAAAGAAAGAAAAACAAATAACAATATAAAAAAAAAGAAAAGAAATCAAAACTCGATGAATATCATAGATATTTTATTCAAGCATTAATAACTCTTTTACTTGTTCAATACCAACAACGGAATCAGGTTGCACAAGTGTTCCATTAAAATGAAGTTTTATATGTTGTATTAATGTTTGTGATGATGTTGTATGAGCAATAAATGAACAAAATGGACATGATTGATTGTTATGATTAGTAATAACATGCATAGTTAATTCTTCAAGATTAGTAAAATTATTTGTATTCGATGATGGTGAACATACTGGACAATCAAAAATATTTTTAGTTGTAGATGCTATTATATCATCTTCACCATCGGATGAATCAATATCAAATTCTTCATCATCATGTTCTAGACGACGATGAAGATTCAATGCTTCAGAACGATCACATTGATATGAACATAATGAACATTGATGTTGTTCAATAATATGTGCAGTTGAATTTTTTGATGACAATTGGAAATGAATTGGTATTTGACTAGTTGGATGAATATTTGTCATATGACGAAACATTGGATTATGAGATGATGTTGTATATGAGCATATAGGACAAGTTATACCTTGACCAGTTAAATGTAGTGATATATGACGTTGTACTAACGACCAATTAGAACATTTATAAGGACATACAGAACATAAATAATTAACAGGTGAACTTTCATCAAATACTTCTTCATTATCATCATCACCATCACCATCATCATCATCAACATTATCATTGATATTTTGTGGCAATGTTTCTTTTGATGATAAAAATTGATAGTTATTCGTTTTTATATTTGTTGTTGGTTTAAGTGAAAGATCTAATGGTATATCATCATCATCATTATCATTATGTGAAGGTGACGTTGTTAGAAGTAAACGAGAAACAATATTAGATGGATTCGATACTTGTTTTAACTAAAATAGATCAAAAAAGTAGAAACATTTTCTTCGTCTTTTTTCGTTCTATACCTCATCTTTTTTTGTAGATGTTGATGATTTATTATAAAGCAAGGTTTTTATTATTGGTTGTGAATCTTGTTGAGATTCGATTTTAATATTAGATTTATTTGATGATTTATGTTCGTTGAATTTTTTTGAAATTGATTTATGTTGATCATTTGAAGATGGTGGTGGTGGTAGTAGTAGTTGACCTTCGTTTGTATCAGCCTAAATTAAATAATAGATAATTTTAAATTTAATCGAAATAATATTTACATATTGAAGTGAACCATCTTTTGGTGTAAATTCTTGTTCAGCTTTAGCCCAGTCATTCCAGGTACGAAATGTACGTCGACGAAGTTCTTTACCAAATGTATTTTCATATAATTCAATTGTAGAACGAGCTTCTTGTTCAGTCATCATAATCATATCTAATTAATAGACAAAAAAACTTTTCTAATATTCAATCATCAAATAAGTAACTTTCATAAGTCATTGATATATACGAAATATCGAACATTAGGGTGCGGTGGGACTACGGAATCGCGAGTAAATACATTAATGGGTTTTAAGTCTGGATGAATTGTATTCACAGAAAATGGTAACGGCATCGAAAATCCCGAAAAAATATTTTTCCGGGACCGGGATCTGAACGGGTTTCTGTCGAGTGAGAAACGGTTGGGATCGGGATGAAAAAAACGATCCTGCCGCTTCCTATCGAACATGGTCTATAGGAATTTTTACGTCAAATATCATTTTACACAATAAAGTCTTATTCAATGGTCATTTGTTCTATTTAGTTTTCTAATTACACACATTTTATGTGTCTAATTTTTCGTTAGTTACATTTTCCAAAATGTTCAAGCGAAAAAATTTCTATATATCTTAATTATTTACCTTTATTATGATCCGGTTCAGTTAAATTATGTCTAATTCTAACATGTCGAATCATATCAGTTTTCCAATTTGAACGATAGAAACAATGTCGACATTTTAAACGTTTAATACCAAATTTTGGTTGAACTGCATAAAGACTAGGATTTAATTTTGAACCTTGTAATGATAATAATGCTTCTTCAACAGCTGGTGAAAATTTTGCTTTAGCTAAAGCACTTGTAGGTGATAAGGATCGATTTAAGCCATTTTTATGTTTCGATTTTTTTATCGAAATTAATTTTTGAATATTATTATTATCATTAGATGATAATTTTGTTTGTCGACATTGTGTTAACATATAAGCATTTGACTGTTCAGCATGTTTTTCATTAATATGTTTCTGAATATTCCATGATATAGTTGATTGATAATCACACAATGAACATTTATAAACAAATGTCATTGAATCATTATTATTTGTTGCTGATAATGGTTGAATATTATCTTCTTCATTATCTTGTTGTTGTTGTTGTTGTTGAGAAAAATCCATTGCATTTTCCACACATGAACTACTAGTTGATGATGCTTCCGAGTCATGATTAAATGATTTTGTCGAAAAATCATCTTAAATTAATATATACATATATATATTTATTTAAAATTGAGAAAAATAAAAGAATATTTTTTACTAGTTGGAAATGCAATTGCTTCTTCATTAATTGGTTTTCCATCTGGTTGAATATCAATAACATTTGCTGTCTGCAATGTATGAAAATGTTTAATATGCTAAAAAAGAAAATGAATACATAGAAATTTTATTTTATTTTATTGAAAAAAAAACATACACGAATAACAACCCAACTATGTTTTGATTGTAATGGACATAATGAACAACGAAACCGTTTTAACGGTGGTGTAATTTTTTGTAATCGTACTGATAGTTCAGCAGGTAATTCAATAACATGTACATTAGCTTGATCAGGATGTTTAGCACGTATATGTCTTTCGACTACCCATTTATATGTTCCTTGTTGATGACATGAACTACATTGAAAAACTCGAACAGGTGCAAAATTTGATAGAACAGGTAATGATGCTGATGATGATGAATGTTGTTGAGGTAAAGTTTTTTCGGTTTTTTTTATTGACTTTATTTTATTTGTTAAATTTATATTCTGACTACTATCATCTTCATCATCTTCCTCAAAACCATTCTGATTTTGTTGTTCAGAATCTTGTCGAATTATTTTTACCACTTTTGACTCAGCATTTGGATGTTTACGTGTTTGATGTTTTCTATACAACAAAAAATAATAAATATAACAATAACAATTATTATTCATCAAAAAGTCATTTTACCGAACATCTCCACCATAATTTGATGTATAATCACAATATGGACAACCAAAATATCGTACAGGTTCATCTTGTTCACGTGCTGAATGTGTATTATTACCAGTACCATTTCCAGATGATCCATGTCCACCTGCTTGTGTTGACAATGATTCATCGCCATCAGTCGTATCAAATAGAAAACGTTGAATATAATCATTAGAGTTGCTACTATATTTATGATGTTTACGACGTATATGAAATGAGCAATCACCTTTAATTAGAAGAAAAAAAAAACATTTATTCTATATATTATATTTTGATATGTATATATCGCAAAAAAAAACAATTTTCATTATTTTCAAAGTATGAATCTCTTACCTCGATATTTATATAAACGATTGCATAATAAACAACGATAATTTTTATCACGTATATGAGCAATAATATGTGCTTTAAATTGTTCAATATCTGTTGTTTTAAAATCACAATAGGGACAATCAGTTGTTGTTGCTGTTGAATTTGTATTTGTTTCAGAAATTGATGACGATGATAAAATTCCAGCTGAAAAAAAAATAAATATTAGATCTCTATTTTAAATAAGAAAATTCAAATTTATTTACGTTGTTGTTCAGTTGAATTTATTTTATCTATATGTTCATTGGAATTAATTTTTTCTATAGTATTTGAAGAAAATGTATCAAAAGAATGTGTTTGATCATAATTCGATAAATCAATACGATGTTTTCGTTTAGCGTGTCGTATAAGATGACCCAGACGATGATAAGTCGAGTCACATATTGGACATGTTAATATAGTTTGTGGTGATATTGTTGTTAGATTTAATGATGAATCTCGTTCATCATCATCATCAACATCAGATTCAAATTCCGAATTATTATCACTACTATTAATATAAAGATTAGTTGATAGTGCTGATGGTGTTCTTTTAATTCGTTTGACACTAGATGAATGTTCTATATTACCAAAAAAAAAACAAAATTAAAGATGAATCATCAATATAATAAATGTACCTCCTATCTGTGTAGTACCATCGAAAGATGTTTGAGACTATATAAAAATTTCGAAAATAAAACTAATGAACAAAATTAAAATTACTTGTTCATCATCAGGCGCTTCACGTTTATTAGTTTTGGTAATAATGTTCGATGATGATGTTGATTGTGGTAGTGGTGCATCTTGACATCCGTATCCGTGTGCACCTGAATATATACATAAATAGTATATCAAGGTAATATTTAGTTCAATTAATACTTGTCAGATGATTTTCGAGTGCCTCAAAATTATCCGAATTGAACGGACAATAGATGCAAATATAAGCTGTGGAAGCATCGTCAGTCATCATCACCGGTACTTAAAAAGATATTGAAGTAGACAAACAAAGAAAAGAGAATATATTGATAGCTATTCGTATAAAATATTGCATATATATGTGCACACGTCAATTTTGATTGATCATCATTTCATATATATTTCTTTTGCGATCTATTCGTCCATAGATATTTTGTATGATTTTTTCATCGTCTCTTGCCTTTTTTTTCTAACAACAACAAATAACAACAACAACAACGACGATGTCGTCCTCTTACTTGATTACAGGTGTGTAACGTATAGGTAAGAGCTTGAAAAAAAAAGCTTAGAAGAGAAGAAAAAAACGAAGAGAAATAAATCATATTGATCGAATACGAAGTTTTCTATGACTGATCGATCCATTGACGATATAGACCGTAACCGAAATCAACATTAAGAAATATGACATGAAAATGTTGATGATCAATATCTTTCGATGATATTTTACTTTCTTCTTTCCCTACCTGATCGATGACGATGATTGTACTATTCATCAGACTCGTAAAAATGAAGAAAAATGGAAATCACTACAATCTAAAACTAAAACGGTTATATTGTACATATAAGGTCATTTATACAGGAAGTTATTAAAGATCAATGTATAAGTATAGTTCTAATTAAAAACTTTCTCAGATTTATGATAAATGTCTATGTATATTGATGATAATACTGAGCACGTACAGATAAGCAAAGGAAGGAAAAAACCATGAAAAAAGAACCTTTTTTACATCTTCGTTTTTTTTTTCGTTTTCTATAACAAAAAAAAAGAAAACGATGTAAGCGCAACATTCTTCTCCTCTTCTTCTTCATTATACACATTCAATACTCAATTTCTTTGTGTCTTTCGTTCTCTCTCTCCCCCCCCCCCTCTCTCTCTGTGTTCGTCTTCTTTCGATGCGTACATACATCTAATATTGGTGTGATTATAGAACATGTCAGGCAGAGAATAGGGAAGAAGTAGAAGAAGAAAAGATGCGCGCGCGTCTATAACACATATGATGCGCTCGTATGCACGCAGTTTTTTCGAAAAAAGAAGAAGCGAAGATCGAAGGCCAAAAGACACATATACATGTACATAGCATCATTTACTTCTCTTCGTGATCCTCCAATTATCATCTTCTTTTCACGTTATATATAAGTAATTTCAGGAAAGAGGAAAAAAAGGTGTAATATAGTATTTTTTCACCATCTATTGCACAGACAGCACGATCAGTAAGAGAAATCGATTTCTCACATTTACATATATTTAATGTGTTTGATTCTTACCTGTATATATATATATATGAATATGTAGAAATATTTGTGTACATATCTAGATCATTTTTATATGTACAAAATGTAATGGAAGTTTTTACACTTATATAAAGATTTATTTTATATATATTAACACAATAGTTAAAGATAAGAAAAAATGTTTTATAATATCATTCAATAAATAGATATCATCTGAATTTGATTTTTATAACTAAACTAAATCCTATACATCAAATATGTATGTGAAAGAGAATAAAAAAAAGAAGAAGAAGTTTAGATTTTTAGTCGTTGTTTTAAATACGACACTAGAGTAACAATATTTGTCAGTCAATTTAGACAAAAAAAAAAAGAAGAATGAAAAGATTTTTTTTCGGTCTACGACGAGAATATATGCAGATGTATTATGTTGAAAAAAGACAAGTATATAGAGATATATATTGAGAAGATTTAGTGGTACTATATATAATAGAAGGCAAAAGTGAAGGGATCGAAGCACAGATGGTTTAAGAATGGAAAAGAAAAAGAAATATGAGATTGATTTTAGTTGAAGTATGGCTGCAGATGGTAGGAAAAGAATTTGTACGTTTCGTTTTTTCAATAAAAGGACGGATATTTGATAATAATATACGTCTTAGATTTTTCGAATAAAAACATATGTTTAACAGTAGTTAAGTGAACATGTCTATACAAAAAAAAGAGTAAATATAAGAATCTAGGTCAAAGGTTTTTTGTATTAGAATATATTTGACCCGTTTCTATCTCGTCTAAAGAATATGAATACTAACAGCAATAGTTAACATATATGCACATAAATAAGAAAAGGAAAAAAACGAACACAAAAGTGGATGCATGGATGGTTAACTGAGAAGAATTATAATCATTTACTTAAGATTTCATTTTATCTATAGGAATATTTTTAACTAAATAAAAAAAACGAAGAACAATCGAAAGAAAGTCTTATGCACTGTCGATTTAAAAAAAAGAATATATATGGGTAATAAGGAAAAAAGAAGTAGGCAAACGACTAAGGATTAAGTTCATATGCGCATAAGTGAGTTTTATATAATATTAGTTCTCCTTTTCTTTTTTTTTCTCTCTTCTTTGTATATATGTTACTCATCGTCGGTCGAAAAAAAGTTGTATAAAATAAGTAGGGATGATGGTGGATATTATAAAAGAAAGAGAAACTAAAAAGAATTTATCCGTGTATAACGGTGTCGAAAGCGTATGAAGTTATTTTCGAAATATATTTTTACTTTTCTTTCGCTTTTTTTTATACTATATTAGTCGACAATCCTCCGGATGAATGAGTTTCATGTTGGTTACGCATATCGAGTCAAGTAGATGTGCATATGTATGTGAATATATATATATATATATATTCGATCACTGAATTAACAGAAACCTACGTATTTGATTTTTTTTTATTTCTATGCATAATCTATCGTATTTTTTTTCTCTCTTTATAATTGATCAAATAAATGGTTTTTATCAACATTAGAATTTATATTTATAAAGTAAAAATATATATATACATGTATAATATTATTGTAATGAAGCAAAAGAAAATGATGATTGTTATTATAAATACTTTGGTATTAAAAGGAAGTAAATAGTGGAGGTAGAAAAGTGCAAGATAAATATCAGGTTAAGAAGTGATTATATTACGAATTTCGGAAAATTGATTGTTATGATTATTGTTGTTGTTGTTGTTGTTATTAAGATGATACTAATGTCTTTAATTAATCTCATTACCTTGAAATGATAATGATAGATATAAATCATACTATCATTAATAGAAATTACTGATTTATGAGAAGTTTTTATTTTAATACCTGGTACCATTCTATTAATACTCATATTATAAATAAACATAATATCGTCAATATTGACTTTGTATCATACTTTCAAATAATATAAAAACTTCTATATGTTATATTAACCATCATTAATTGCATATTATAAAATCAATGATTACTCATACGAGAATACATTACAGTCATATTTCAATAGTTTAGTTCAGTATATTATAGATAAATAAATGCCAAGTAACTATAATATACAAATAGAAAAGACTTCACTGAATGTATTCGGATTCGGGATCTCATGCCATAGACTCTCCGAGTGGTTCAGATTTTTAATATATAAGAACTACTTATGATCATGTTTAAATCAAAATATCTGATTGTATCATCTTGGATAAATTGAAAAATAGCATTTATGCTTTAAAGCAATATCATCTGTTACGCATTTATCGATCTCCAACAGCTCAAATATAATACGATGTATAAAATAGATTAAGATCCTTTTTCGTAACTTAAAGTTAATACATGTATCACTTGAGTACATAACAATGATACGCTAATTATTCGAAGGACTTCTTTCTATTTATTTATTCATTATAAATAATAGACAACACAATAAAAATTTCTTTTTTTGATTATTGGATTTCATTGCAATAACTTTCTTAGTATGACTAAAAATATATTTAAAATAGAATAGATTTAAGAATTCTTTACTTATGATTAATATATTATTTCTTTGAGAAATAGACAAAAGTTACAAAATTTTATTATTAGAAACAGCTACTATGCACTTTTTGCTAACAAAAGATTGTTCTTCTGTCTTCTTATTTCCATAACATCAACATTTTTTTTCTATAGTTTAACTAAAACAATAATTGTTAATTTGTTTCAAATATACTCAGTATGAGAAGTTACAAGTGATGAAACTTTTATGTAAATAATCATTGTTCTTTTCCTTTGTTTGGATATATATTGAAAATAAAAGTTAGTCATATTATTACATTGCAAATTAAACAGCTTACAAATGATAATGATTAGGATGTATGCGTAGGTGAAAATACATCTCTTCTATTAAAACTTTTAATAATGATGTATACTGTTCGCCCCATAATCTGAAAAGCATTCCGTCAATAAAAACAAAAAAAGAAGATTATATATAAAATCAGTCGTTTTTATTTTATTATTTCAAAAGAAAATTTTCATCAAAAACATTATAATTATAGTTTTCTTTTCTAAGAAATATTAAAAATTTGCTGACATCATTCCGATAAAAACTATCTATTCATATAAAAATAATAGATATGATGACGTAGATTGTAAATTATTTAATGATAGTATAATATTACTTAAACATTTTAATATTCGATATATTGTATTAATTATGGATATTATCAAAAAAAAAATTTTTTAATTTTGCTTCAAAGTTAACACGTTGACTGTTCGGTGCATCTTATGTGATGCACGATACTTTTGACTAAAAAGTCTTCGCATCACGTACAACGTGCTTGTAGCATAGGATATCTTAAGCTAGAATTTTCTAGACGTTCCTAATCGACCATTCTTGAAATATAGGACGTATCAGAAAAATATAAATAATATAATATAGTATTAAAAATAATAAAAAAAAAGGGCGTACAAGTATTATTTTTTTCGCATGGGACAGTTAACGTGTTAATATACATGCATAACACGAAAGAAAACTGACATTAAATTTTCTATAAAAAAATATTCCTTTCAATTAAGATTTAATTATTATTTTAGTTTTAGCTAAGTAACAGCGCCATACCTTTAATATACATACATGCATATTCAATTATATAATCCTTTCTATTGATCTATTTCTCAGTTCATTATATGAATTAACAATGCGAACTTAATTCAGGCTTGTAATCTTATAAATCATATACTTATGTTCTGTAAACTTTTTCTCTTATACAAATCATGTCCGAATATTGAATGTTGTCGTTTGATTCTAATTTTTTTTAATCTATAAATATGACATTGTATTTGATAATCTTTCTTACTGTCTTAAATAAGAGAAAGTAAAAAATGATTTTCAACATCCTTGACAATAAACATAATTATAAGTAATTAATTCTTTTTCTCTCTCTCATCCTCTTCTGTACTCTTGAAACATCTGCAAAAATTATTCATCCAATATTTTTTCAACATTTTTCTTTCTTCTCTCTTATATAATGCCGGCGTTATCTTTTTTTTTTATATATATCCATGTATGACTTCTAACTCTCGTCATTTCTATTACTAACAGACACAAGGAAGAATAACATGTTTAATACTCTTCTTTTCTTAGTTTGTTGTTGTTCATTAGTAGGATCATCATTAATTGATCCTGTTTCAAATAAAAAACATATTGATGGTACACAATATACTATTAAAAGTGTTAGTACAAAATATAAACAACATGTATCTGATCAAGGTATGTTATTTTTTATTAAATTAATCTATATTATTTCTATTTCATATATTTAGGTGAATGTAGTATAGAATTAAAAGAACGACCTAAATTTTTAGTCGAAGGTGAAATAATTAAAATAAAAAATAAATGGTTTAAAGTTGAAGAATGTCGATTAAATCGAGCATATCGTGCTTCATGTGGTTCAAGATTATTTTATCAACTTCGTGATTTAGCTTGTGCATTTGTTGAACAAAATCAAGACAATCAAATAAATACGCGACGAGAAATAACAAACATGTTCATTGATGAATCGTCTTATGATGTATGTTGTGAAAGTGCATGTACAATATCAGAATTGCTTCAGTATTGTCCTACAAAATGGTGATACAAAAATGACAAACTAACTCAAAATAAAAGACAACAAGAAAAAAAATTCTTTTGTTTTTCAACTAATAAAATTGTATATCTTATATTTTATCACAAAATCTATACAATTGAAATTAAAAAAAATCTAAATGTTGTTTTTCTTGTCATATTATTTCAAAAAATCATTTTACATTATTAAAAATACTGATATATAATAATGAAAAAATGAATTATAGTAAAACCTCCCTAATGTGAACACCATCGGGACCGGAAAAAAGTGTTCACTATAGAAAGCTAATATATCACGTACCCTGGATTGAAAGAAATCTTAGAATATTTGCTTATGCCTTTATAGTAGAGAAACGAGTAGCTGCCTAATTCGAGTTTGAATATAAACAGACATTAAAAAAAGAAAAACTAATACGTATTTCTAGAAATAGATTTAGTTTTAGAATAATCTTCAGATAAATCCTCTTCACCCACCTCTTGGTCGTATATATGAATCGTATACATCTTAGAGTGAAACTGAATCTATTCCTAAATTTCACTATTTATTTTCGAATTAGGTAGCTCATCAAAACATGACAGAAAGTAGAAAGAGGGCAAAAAAACATTATATATATGTTCACACTAGAGAGGTGATGATACCAGACTGGACCGAAAAAAAGCGTTCACTGTTCAGAATAAAGAGATGCATTTATTCTATTCGATTAGTTGAGTTCATAGGTAATAAATAATATTTCTGATGAGTAGATTATTTTTGGAATTAGAATAGTCAAAGAGAAAATCTTTTGAAAAAGTTAGTTTTTAATTTTTAATCAAGTCCATTGAAACCCTCGGGATACATCACAAGTCTTTGTGTAAAATAGAGCAATAGGCAGATTTTTCTCAAGTATACCAAGACGGGGGACCCATATATGCGTTACCGGTCCTCAAAAAGTTAATTTGACATTTATATTTTAAGCTTTATACAACAATCCAATTTCTTATAAAAATGTATTGACTTAACCGTTGAAAACTATGACTTTTTATTTCTTGATATAAAAGATATCATATGAAAAGCTGGAGCAAGATGACCTAATTGACAATCGAAAAAAAAGCATATCTTCAATAGAATATGTAATTCAAGTTCCTGATATTGTATAGAAGTATATTTTCCTCTCGATTGATATATAATTTATTAATACACAATAAGCAACATTGCAATAGTACTAAGATTATAACTTTTTTCTTAATTCTACCATTGATATATTTTTAATAAAAAGAATTTTAATTGTTTTCAAAAGTGGCATTTCATCGAATATTAAAAAAAATTCGATTTATATGATTTACTTTTCAACTACAAAAATTAAATGTTCGACGAAACATTTTTTCTACCCCTTATTCGTTACGTCAAAATTGTGAAAATATTTCACGTTTATATTCAAAAAGAAAGTCGAGATATTATAATTTTATGCCAGAAATATCAATCTTATCATAATCTTTTTGAAGGTTCAATAATACACAAAAGTAATTTATTCCTATCTCGTTCTTTCTTCTCTTGAAGGCACTTCTTCTACAATGTTTATGATGACGATAGTGTAGGAGGTGTAGCAGTATCTATTATTTATTCTTTTCTTGTATTCATATTCTCACTGCTATTGAATATGCCCTTTTCCTGTGCTATTAGTTTAACATATCATAATTCACTAATGTATAGACACTTAAGTACAATATTACTAATTCTAATACGAAAAAAAATATATTAATTGATATTCTTCATTTGAATAAGCTTCCATATTTAATTTATGATTAACGATTTGCTCTACTTAATTTTTCTCTATCAATTCTTGTTTGATATATTTTAGTTATTTCATATATCGAGTCTTCGAAAAAAACAATTAATGCGGAAATCAGAGTAGAACATTTAAAAAGTATCGGAAGAAATTATACTAATAGAGTACACTCACGTCAAAGGCCACGAATCTATTGTGAAGCTGAACATTTGTAATACTAGAAGAAAAATAGACTCATTCGAGTACAATTATTACCTTCTATAAAAGATTGAATTCTCGTTTAAGATCAATTTACACTCTAAAAAAATTCTTATAAATATTAATATTACAAAATAACAATTGAAATATGAGTAATATTTAGAAGGAGTGCAAAATTTTTTTATATATTGAAACAATCATTTATGTAAACATTAGATATGAATTGATCTTATACAACGGTTTTATATTCAACAGGTATCTCACAAGATTTAATTGATGAACATATATATATTCATTTGCTAATTTTATTATTTGTCTGGATACCGTAAGCTATTTTTCGATATACTATTGAAGTAAAATGTTGACGTTTAAACAGGAAACCGTAGGAGGACCTATTAAAAAACTCTATAAATATTTTAGGTTCGTTTTAATAACGGAACACTAAGTATAGATGACCGAAAGTTAAATGAAACTATAACATCTTCCTGACAAAACATGTTTACCACCTATGTCATGCCTAAGAGTTTTCTTATTTTCCATCTGTCTTTTGAATATACAAACTTTCGATAAAAATAGAGATTGAACATTAGTCAAAATTAAAACCCACCAGGTAGAAAAGAATAATATTTTTTTTCTATCGGTTCTTTTTCTCTATTCTTATAGACGGTACGTGGTGTATATATATACAGCTAATATTTTTGATAAAGAAATAAAAACAAACTTTCTTTGACGAATATAACACTTTATATTTATATAGCGCAGGTCACGCAATAATAAGTAAGAATTCCTTTTTTCATTTAATAAAAATTAATGTTAGTTTTTTTGTTTTGTTTTTCAAGATATTTATTTAATTTCTTAACTCCTGTAATCATGTTGAACAATTATACTATAATATGTTTATTAGCGCTAGTTGCTATTATTTTAAGTATGCCAACGAACAATACAGATTCTCATGAAGATAATGATTCTTATAATGAAAGAAAATCTTTATTTATACGTGATATTGAAAGTAAAATTGATGGTTCCATTCATCATGTTAAAGCAGCTGGTGTTACTTATCGACAACGTATAAAAAATAACCAATGTTTAGTTGAATATGATAATCAATTCTTATCAGAAAATGAAGTTATTAAAATTCGAAAGAAAGTTTTTCGAGTAGAAAATTGTTTATTAGAACGTGTTTATCATGCATGTGGTCCAAATTTACTTTTAATGTTAAGTGTAGTTTGTCGAGTTGTTGAACAACATTCACCACCAAATTCATTGACAAATTTTAAACGAGAAACAAGTTTAACATCCGATTATTATTATGATGATTCAACAATATTAAAAAGCAAACGTGTTATTACAGAATCATGTTGTGAAAATCTTTGTAGTGTTTCGGAATTAAGTAGATACTGTCATCAATGATAAATAATTCTTATTTGAACTCTTATAATTTTATTTATTATGTGATTTATCAAAATATTTTTCACACTATTCTTGAGTTCATAATAAAAAGAGAAACAAAAAAAAAAACTATTATAGTACGTGTCATATAAAATATTTCTTAATTGTGATCTTTAAGTTTTCAATAAAATTTACAGAAAAAAAAATACAGATCGATACTTTTTTTTAATTTAATTATTATCAAATAACTATTCATATACTACTGATGAATAGTTTGAATTTTGAAATGAATAACGTTTTATTAAACACGCAGTATAATACGTCATATATACTTATACATAAATAATTATGTTCAGAAGGAGTATAGTATTAACCATCTGTTGCTCACAAATATCAGTAAAATTAAAAAAGAAGAAGTATCTAATAACCCTTTTTTTGAACGATTTATACAATAAAACTATCTTCTCTAGTTAATCGATTCAGTAATATTTCATTTGAAAAATTCCTATTATTGTTCAAATTACATATTGGTATAAAAAAATTGCACTTAGTATTGTTGTTACTAATTGTTGAGTGCGTATGTTCAAAAAAAGAAACGTACTCACATCCAGGAAAAATGTGATTTTCATTTTCTTTTTAATTTTTTATTATAAAATATAAAATTAAATAGGCATATTGAGTATTCATACGTAATTCCTTTTTTCAATGCACTTAAAAGTTACTTTATTTATTATTATGATTATAGGATACAGTAGAAAAATACTCGTATTATATACTTGATTCTCTCATTAATTGTTTGACTCATCATATTATTGTATAATTAAGTGATGAATTGCTAAATGTAATTATCAACACTTCTACACATTTCGTATTAAAGATGACATATTAGAAACACTTAGATTTCTATAATGAATCGTAAACCTACCGGATATTAAAAAAAGTAATTTTTTGACCTTTATCAAGTCTTTAGAATAAGATTGCGTGTCCCTACTCAAAGAAAAATTATATTTCCTTTTCCTGAGTTACAATGTCATGATTTTAACATAAAAAATAACATTTGGTAGATGTAAATTAAGTCATGTTTATTCACATATAAACTGTAATATAATATGAAAGTATTGAATGTCTCCAGCCTGCGCTATTTTAGTAGAAAGCCATTCTTTTAATATACTTTTTTGTTGTTGATATGATCACTATAATTCGTTTAGTCATACTAATTGTATGTTTTCTGCTATTGTATCAATGCAAATAAAGAAAAAAACAATTTTGTTGATTATCTTTAGTAATTAATCAAAATAGTACGAATATTATTGAATAAACTGTTGGCTTTAGTTTTCATTCTAAATAACTTGGAATATGATTACGAAAGCAAATAAGTGTTCATATATATGGAATATTAGTGAAGAATTTGAATTATTTAACTAAGTTTTTCTTATTCAAAGTTTTATCAATACCAAAAGAGGTGGTGATGACGCATCGAAACTTTTAGAAAAATAGTATGACTCTCATCGACAGCATATGAATTTATTGATTATCGAAAGCGTTTTAGAAGCACCAGTGAAACAGCTATAAAACTATGGAATAATTTAATTTCTGACTACTAATAATAAAATATTTTAATTATCAAAATTTTTAACGTTTGCAAAAAAAGCAATTTTTTGAAAATGTCTGACTATAACTTTTAGGAAATTAGTGAAAGATCTCTTTGTATATAAACTTCACTACGCCTTCATTATCTTTTTGCGTTTACAAAATATCTGTCACGAAATCAGGTGTTATATCGTATTTTGTAATATATCCTAACTATATTTAGTACCACTAATTAATTATTATGTGTCTGGTAGAATGGGCTCATGTCATGCTGTTCTTTGTACCTCCAATTTTCCATGATTAAGTTTAAAAGAATTACTTATACGTAGTGTATAAAAATAGGTTTCAGAATAAGCAAATAGGTCAAAAACGTGTCCGCATATTAGAGAGAATTACTTCTAGTAAAACTTAGTTATTTATTGATCTATATAAATTCAAATTTGAACTATCATTATATAGATAGTAGAAGAACATCAAACAAGTCACATTCTTGATTCTTTGAACAATTGATTCATTGACGAGAGAAACTATACTTATTACAAGATCTGTTTAATCACCAACAACTAAAACTAAAGGATCTTTCACACTTTAAAAAATATAAATAATTCATAGTTTATACTTAAATTTAATCCCTGATACATCAGATGACAGAAAAAATACAAAACATATATATAGAAATAAATAAATCGATAAATGAAAGAAACAAACAAAAACACAAATTCACAGTAATGCTTTTTTTTTGCTCAATAATGATCCTATTTGATCATTTAAAGTTTAAATAATAATTATTTACATTGCATCGTACGTGTTCGTTTATAATAACGTTGTGCTAATGAATTAATAATTGATATAATAAAATATCCAATCATAGCCGCAACAAATAAATCAAATATTCTTGATAACATTGATACTTTTGTTATCGAACCCGTTAAATTATTAGTTGATTTTCGATGCATTTTATCTTTTTGTTCATGTAACCAATCTTTAAATGGTGTTTGTAATAAACGACCATAATATGGTATATGTTTCATCCAACGTATAATACGTTCAACATGATGTTCACTAAATAAAAATATAATAAATATTGTTTGTATACTCATTTTAATTATTGCTTTGCCAATAATTGTTGCAAAAAAGAATCTTGAAAATGATATTAAAAAATACCCACATGTTATTCCAGCTAAATCAAATAATGGATTTGGTATACTTGCACATAATAATATACCAAAAAAACCAATACGTTCTATAAGACAATAGACTGAATAACGTAAACGTTCAAATAATGTTAAATGACGTGTTTTATTTAATTTAGCATCAAGTAATAATTGTTGAAATTCAATTAATTCTTCATCATCAGTTGTTTCATTTTTACTTAAACGTGCTGCACGTGCCATAAAATAAGGTGGTAATTCACCTAATGCTGTACCTAAACCCCAAAAGAATGCTTCTAATTTAACTTTCCATAAAATATTCCAAAATGATATTGGTCCTGTTTCTAATAGATTTGTTTCATTTGATGATGATGGACAAATAATTTCATGTGGATATGGAGGACGAGGAAATTTTATTGAATCACATTCATATGCCGCTAATGTTACTTGAGCAATAAATGGACCAAGATAAAGTAGAAATGTATGTAAACCTGTTCCTAATCCAATTGATGACGCTATACCAAGACCAAGCCAATATAAAGCCCATAAAAATAAACTTTGTATTGCTTGTATACGTATTTGATGTGAACCTTCAGTTTTATAAATAAATAAGAAAGATAATAATAATATACTTGATATACATAAGCTCTTTCGAAAGGAGATAATATATTTAAAATTATGATGAATAAGATAGATTAGTTCAAGTAAACAGTAATGAATAGTGTTAATTGGTTGACGCCATAAAACAATTTTAGATGTTTCTTCATGTATAAGCTTTTGTTGAGTCTTTTTAAGAGCTAATAAATGTTCTTTTTCTTCAAGTATTTCATTGATATTTGAAGTTGATTTACTAGAAAGATTTATAAAAATAGATTCAAAAAGCAAAAAGATTCTATTAACATACTTAGTTTCTAGCTGAGATAATTTCTCTGTTCGTTGACGCATAGTAGTCGTCGTCGATGATAAATCCATTGTTGAATAAGTCTCGATACCAGCTGTGAAATCCATTTATGTAGAAATAATAATAAGCATAGTATTTTATGAAGAAATATAATGAAGTTTGTTTGACTATATAAACAAAAAAATATATAAGTTACCAACGAAGAAAACGAGTGTCAATAAAGATAGCACGACACAAGCATGTGATAAGTAATGTGACAATTTATGTATGTCTTTTACGTCGATGTAAATCAACAAAAACAAAAAGAGAAAAGCTTAGAAACGATAAACACGTCATTGTCATGCGATGACATTCTGATGTAAAAAAAAACAAGTATTTTCGATGTTTCTAGATACCAGCAATCTTATGTAGATAGGTCAAATGAGTCAATCATCAATGAGTAGTATTCATATTTTCGATTACTATAAAAACTATTATTTAATAAAAAAAAAAGAAAGCCAATAGTAAAACAAATTCAATACTCTATTTCGTATTATTTATATTCGATTGCCATCTATCGATAAGAAAAAGAATCGATGTATATTCAAATAATCCATGCTGATAGTCAATTATTTATCTATAAGATTTTCTCATTGATAATATACTTTCAACGATACAGAACAAGATATTCACATAAAAACTATCAAAAATGTTTTGTTTTTTGTAATACTAGAGATTTAGCAACATATTATTCAGTAAAAAACGAACAATTTATATGAGAATATTGTATGTCAAGTGGCAAAAAAATTCGTTACACCTTGTCCAACAAATATTATCTATAGTAAACACCAGCAAGTAGTTTTACATATACGAAAAAAAAAGAAGTTTAATCTTTTACGTCCACATTTTACAATCGACAATTGTTTTACTTCCGAGTTTTTTATAACAGCCAAAGATGAAGTTCGTTTGACAGTTTTGATTAGTTTTTATTACAAAAAAGGTTTTATTCTTTACTTGTGTTATATAAAGCGTAGGTTCGACAAGAAAAATCTTATTTTATGATTATTTGTTAGAGAATTGTGCTAATTTTTCTGTAAATAATCGAGAATATATTAAACCTTTCAGAACGGCTGATATATACATGCGTTCTGAAGTTCTTAGTATAAAATTAAACCGATCTTGAAAGGGTTAAATAGTGTACCATGAAAGTACAACGTTTCGTAAGACAGATGGCAGACTAAATATTCCATAGAAATATAAAAATGAATAATATATCTAAGGAGAGAAAATATGACTTATATTATTTTTAGAATAATAAAGTACAAATTATATCTAGAAAGTAGATTTGCTTTCCTAAATGATATAACGGAATCTAGGTTGACATGTAATTATTATGGTATGTTTTTTTGTTTATCTCAGATCGAAGTATTGAAACATGTGGTATTTTTGTAGAATATCGTATTTGTTTTTCTAATTGATGTATTTTTCTATCAGGATAATAATAATAATAATCAATATATAATAACACATATTGTTGTACCAAAACAAAATGCTGAATCATAATAAAGAAAGTTTTTTTTTGTTTGTTGAATTTTCTTCGTTATATAGGCTTTCATGAATATTGAAACAGTAGATCATGAATTTGATACATTCATTTATTCTTTATAAAAATGATTTAACTATAAAAGTTTTCTTGGAAATGATTGTCAAATCAATAGTTTAGAAGACTGTTCCTCTGTTTTTATTAGAGTTTAGATTAAATAAGTGTTTGTGTACAGTTAGTGATAGACTATCGATACTAGATGAAAGTTAACCCTCGAACGATATCCCCATTTTATCACACGAATGGTCTTTGTGTGTTCAGAGAGACTCACATAAAAATATATTAGATAAACTTGATTTTTCATCAATTCTGTAGTAGATGCTGTTTATTAAACCTTATACCGTACTTTTTATCAAAGCGTGAATATATTAGTATGACTGTGATGTATAAAAACGACGGTTTTTTTTTCATGAAAGTTTTTGAAAAAAGGTTATGGTAAGATTTTAGTTTTAAAATGTTACTGAATGAACATAACAAAATCCCTAGAAAAATATTTAAGAATGTAAATGATTTACTACTGGTAATGTTGTACTAACGAGTCTGGATCCAATAAACTCAAAAAAAGTAGATGACAGGCGGAATATGTATTAAAATCGCTTATATAACATCAAAGGTGTTGGAGGGTTCGTTTAGATCCACACTTCAGTTTTCTAGTCGTAAGATTTCAGTACGAAGTTCAATATAGTGTATGTTCATCATCACATGACTAACGATTAGGAGAGAGATAGCCCCGAAAATGGTGCGTCTTTGAGTAGAAAAATCAAAAAAATAGTGTCGTGGGTCTTGTCGGACCCACAAAAACCGTTCGAAGGTTAAAAGATATATGTATTCTACTTTAACGTAAATAGTAGCTATTCTTTTGTCTATGATTACTCAACTAGATTACTACTTCATCAATATAATTGTATTTTTAATTTATAATTTTTTCGTTTATAACATATTTTGGTTGATGCATGTGATATTATATCTGAATATTTTTTTCTATTACTTATTACTTCATCGATAGACTCATCGAATACAAACGAATTCTAATTCAGTTATTTATAGATATGGAACTATTATATTTTTATTGACTCCTATCAGTAATCAAGCATTATATGTGGTAATTAAATATATGAAGGAAAGAATATTTAATTCTTTTTTAAGTTTTTATTACATACAGCTTATAACTCAAAATATTATACATGTACATTTATTCTTCAGAGAAAAAAATGGATAAGAAAATTCTACAGGATATTATTTTTAGAATACTGTGCTTGTCAGGTTTTAACCTTTTTAATGTATTTAATTATTTATTCATAAACAACTTATGAATTTATAATTCTTTTTTCATGATAAAGTTAGTAAATAAACTTTTTGTCATACATCAATTTAACAATTTACCATTTCATTATACTAATGTTTTGATGACGCATTTGTTCATCTATGTGTTGCCTAGATTTTAATCATTTTTACCTTCACAATAAGTCCTAAGAATATTACTTTATAAAATACAGTGAAATGGATTATTGAAATATATACTACAATAGATATAAATTTAAAACTATTGTGTGTATCTAACGAGTGAGAAGTGATGGAATTTTAGGTTTGGAAATGTTGTCTAGCCTAGCAATCTTTCAAATCTTCGGAGAATTTGAATTTTAAACGAACTACAATCTTAGTTTGAAAACAATAAGACACTCCGATGTCAATTTCATAATAAAGCAACAGAAAAAATATATCATATTACTTCTCTTCAGATTACTATTAAGATTGTACTACAATAGTACAAGTCAAAAACGTTTTTCATTGGTTATTTAATTGACCAACCGAGAGAAAAAGATATTAAAAAAAATCTTATTCGAATATACGTATATATTCAAGATATAAAATAAAAAGAATGTTTTACTAAGAAACTTTAATAAAAAAAAGAGCTGATTAATAATCATATTTTACATTAAATGAGTATAGACATCTTTCGATAGAAACATATTTTCTATAAAATATTATCCAGTCTTTAAAAATGATGAGTCATTATTAAGTAAAATCTGATGTAACTGGTAAAGATTGGCACTTTTTTTTTCTACGTTAAGATTTTTCGTATTTATATCATTTTTATTATCAAAAATTTATTCGATATACTATTAGATAAAATTATCTATGGCGAAAGTACTCACAACAGCTTCCAAATGTGTACCGAATTTAATAGTATATATTCTATTTCTTTAATAAAATAACATTTATTCACTTTTTTATTTCTAGAATCTATCATCAAAAACATCAGCAATAAATGTTCGTTCATCCTCACCTATCTATCGATCATATTCGATTCAACAGACATGTAATCCATTATCAACTAATAATATTCATTCACATCAACAAACTTATTTTTCAACGAAATATCAAAGTAATTCAATACAACCAAAGAATTTTATTTATGATGATCCACTATTTATACCAGTAAATTTAATCGTTTATTTTATTAGAATAAAAAAACAATATTTTGAATCATTTTTAGAAACGAGGAAATGCATCACAACCTAAAGGATTTATTGGTTCATTAATGGATAATATAAAAGAAGAATTAAATAAAAATAAAGATATAAAAGTAAAAGAAAGATTGATATTTCAATTCGGTTTCTAATTGATGTATATATTTTTCAATAGGATAATATAAAGAAATTTCGTGATCAAGCAAAAAAACTTGAAGATAGTGATGCATTAAAAGAAGCTCGAGATAAATATGTAAGTAAAAATATTCTATATAAGAAAAAAAATTTTCTTGTCTTTTATTTATTTAAGAAAACATTAGAACGTGAAACAATGAAAAGTTCAACTGCTTTTCGTGAAAAACTCGGTGAAATTGGTGGAAAAGTTAAAGAAGTAAAATTAGAAAATGATTATATATACATAAATTATTTTAATTGTTTTATAACTAGAGTGATGTTTTAAAAAAAGCATCTGATTTTGGTCAAGAAATAGGTAAACAAGCACAGAAAGCTGCTGGAAAAATTTCCGAAACAACTGAACAATTTACTGGCACAGCTGCTTATAAGAAAGTTTCTGAAGTAGGATATTTGACAAGGAGAAAAGAATGTATATTTTCTTTTCTTTTTTGTTTTAAGCGTTTAGGTACAATTAAAGAAGAAGTTGGTGATGCAACTAAATTATCTAGACAATTAGGTTATCGACCACCAGCAGTATTACGAAAACGAAGTGATACTGATACAATAAAGAAAGATAAAGTCTTTAGTGCTGATACGTAAGTTAATAATTAAAGCTTGCTATATAAACTATACGAAATTGTATCTGCGAAAGAGTATGAAAATATAAAGAAATATAGACATTTGCATTGCATAGGATTTTCTAGTGTAATAATGATAACGCTTGCAAACTTTATCTTCAATTATGAAGATAAATTGTTCAATAGAAACGATCGTATTTGAAAATTCAAATCAATCAATACTATTTACCCCAGAAGAGAATATATGCTTATGTTTATTCCTTTTGCGTCATTTGATATTTAGAAGATTCTCTTCACTGCGCTGTTATATGCATACTTCCAATTTTTACTATTGTAAGAGATGAGAAAACTACAGGGTATTCGATTTTTCAATATTCATAATTATCCTAGAATGTAGTCAACCTTTTGTATACTGAATCGCTTTTTTGCGACGCTTCCTATAAACAAATTGAATCTCGTACGAATTCTCGGAAAAGAAAAAGTATCAGTTTGATCTTAATATTTTCATCGCAGAAAAAGCATTAAAATATACTATCTGACACATTAGACTTTCATATGTAAAATCTACTAACAATGATTAATTATCTCTTCCAATTTTTCGATTGAAATGTTAGTAAATCTTTTTTATGTTTAGAGAAACACAAACGGTTGCTGTACACAAAGATTCTCAATGGTTTCAAAATTGGCAAAATTTTAAAGACAATAATACTTATTTAAATAGTTTGTATTATTAATTTCGTTTTTTAAATTCATTAATTATTCTTATTTAATAATAGAATTATTTGATCTTAAATCGAAATATGATGAAAGTGATAATTTAGTTGTACGTGTTGCAAGAACATTTACAGATAGAGTATCTGGAGCATTATGTATGTATAGAAGAAAACAATGAATTTAATAAAACAACAAAGAATTATTTATTTTAAGCTTCAATATTTAGTCAATCGGAAACAAGTGAAGCTTTAACAGAAATTTGTCGTGTTGATCCAACCTTTGATGTAGCACAATTTCTTCGTGTTGTTCAATATGATATTATTCCAAATATATTTGAAGTAAGAAATTTTATATTAAAACCGTTTCAAATAGTTATTTAATAAAAATATATTTCGTTTTAGTCTTTAGCACGTGGTGAATTAGAAATATTAAGAGATTGGTGTACTGAAGCTGTAAGTAAAAATATATTTCATTGTATATTTTTTGTTTATACTACATTGAATTCTGTTAAGGTTTACAATGTACTCATTCACCCAATTAATACATCAAAAGCATTAAATTATAAATATCATTTAAAAATAATTGATCTCGGTGATGTTGAAGTAAGTAGTTTTATATTATGAATAAATTAAATAGAAATCAATTTTTGTTCTTCTCATAGCTTGTTGCTGCTAAAATTATGGAAATGGGACCTGTACTAGTAGTCAATTTTCAAGCTCAACAAATAGCTTATATAGCTGATGCAACCGGTCAAATCAGAGAAGGAGATCCAGTAAATACATTTTTTTTTCTAAATTATTTTTTCACTATTTCTATTAAGGAACAAATAAATCGAATTAATTATATTTTTGCACTTGGTCGTGATCCAACCATACTTGATCCTCTAGCTGCTTGGCGTCTTGTTGATTTAAGTGCATCAAAAGTTAATCATTTTGTTTGATAACAGTGTGTTTTGTATTTGTTTTTTTTTACCGTAGAAAAAAAAACAAATTTCATATAGGTTAATTCCATTTTCATCTTATCTATGATTAAGTCATATCGTATTGATTTTAACTAGTTGATGGATAGATTAAAAGAAATATTACAGACATATGCATATTATTGTAAGATAAATATCGAATAGATGTATATATACAAACGTTGATTTTTTTTGTGTCTGACAAGTTTGTTGATTGATTGACTGGAATAGACAAAACATCTTCTTTTTTTTTACTTGAATTGTATGCATGTGTTTGAGACTATATTGATTGCAAAAGTAAAATAGATTGAAGTTACGCTTTCGACGACAATGTATACAAGAATATAGTTAATCATACAATCATCATTAAATATAAATATATGATTGATCGAGCTTATCAAGCTGATGATAGAGAAGGAGGTCATCTTCAATAATTGTTTTAAAGAAATAAAGAAAACTGATGATCAATGAGGCGGAGGATACGTTCATATATGTATACAAATTACTTATCGATTATTGAAAGGGGAGGTGGAGGTAGTCGTTTATCAAGGCATGTCAACACATCATTTGAATAGTAAAAGTTCTTTTGTTTTCATCTCATCTGACAAATCAATATTCAACTTATTGATAACATGCAAATATAACACAACGAATCAGCTTTCAACAAGCGAGAATAAATAATTATACATTTCTATTATGTGTTTTTACTCTCTTCTCTTCTCTCGCGTATAACAGAAAAATAAAAAAGAATAGGAAATGAATATCTGGGATGTTTTTCTCAATACTATGAAAAGAAAATCAAGTCATTTTTTCTTCATATGAGAGTATACAAGTATGTATATTACGCATTGTTTGAATATTATCCTTACACATATATATATGTATATTTAGAAAGACAATATAAATACTCGAATTCTATTTGTTTTATTACATTCAATATTTATTAAGTCCTTTATGTATCGATGGTACATTATTAAATAAATAATAGGTGACCGATGAATTCCTTAATCATCTTTTATTTTTTCCTATTATTCATTCCAATCACTGTTACATTTGATTATAATGATGATGAAGAAAATGATAATAATATTGAAAAACAAATGGCATCTCATGTGGGTTAGTATAAAATCACATTTTCTTTATTTTAAGTTGTCTAAGCATTGTTTCTTATCATATTTGTATTGTCGAATGGAATGGTCTTTATCATTAGAAAAGCTTTCATCATCTTTCGATCATTATTGATAACATACATATACAAGAAATGATATTCTTACTATATGTTGCGTCATTTGACTACTGAACTCACACTATGCTTATTCTCATTTGTCATTTTGACACTGCTTATAGAGATTAGTTTTTCGAATTTGATTGTGTCAGTTGTAAGATGATCTATATTGTTTCCTGTCAATGTTGTTTATGTTCTCTAAGCATACAAGGCTAAAATAATAATAATAATCCATTGTCTTTGGCATAATAAGCGGTTGCTTTGATCTTTTATTAATAGTAATGTTGGTCGAACTAGCAATAAGGTCTGTGTGTATATAAAAAAAAAAAAGAATAACAAAAGACCATGATTTGTCAATGAGCATATGTTACATGGCTGTATATTGACAAAAGAAAAAAATAAATGATAAATACAGTTATGAAAATAAGGAAGTAAACTTCAAGGCATCTACTCTAGAGATCTGCGTGACAAAATTTTTTATGTCTCGCTCCCGTTTGTCCCGCTACTCGCATTTAACCATCATAACCGGAAAAAAATCAATCAACAGCTGTAGATAGATTTCTCATTATTTCCTTTTTTTCCTATTATTTGTTAAAATAGTAATATATTTTTTGGAAATAAAAGAATTAAAGTGTACCATACATTTTTATATAGATGCAAAAAAAATTCGAGACAATCACGATTGTCCCACAGATCTCTAATCTACTGTAATATTTTAATGTAAAATAACAGGAGTAGTAGTTATCAAATTGTAGAATTCGATAAACATAATTTTGAATTGTTATATTGCAAAAGAGAAATAAAGTCTCGAATACTGCTGTTCTCTTTCTCGTAGAGAAGAGTCCAGCAGAAATAAATTGTTTGCTTGATTGATTGTGTGTCCACAGGGTCAGAAGAACATCGAAAACCAACTTTTAGGAAAAGATATTTCTAGAGGTAACTCGATGCGGGGAGTTCGAATCTGAAGTTTATTGGGTGACCATGATGAGGTGGATGGGTGACGATAACTGAAAGGTCAAAAAAAACATCGAAAATCAATTTTTCACGGTTTTCATTTGTTCTTCCAGTAAATGTAACGGAAATGCATTTCATCGAGAAAGAGCTAAGCGAGTCCTCGGATGAGCGTTACTTGTTCTTTAATATACTCCCAACATGTATGTTGTTTTTATCTTCGACTGATATTCATATTTTAATATTCAGTTAGATTATTGAATAGAGAGTATAGCTCATAGAAGTTCAAGCCGGCGTCGCCGCTAAGACTCAAAAATTGATTCTACTAATCTATCGATTTTTTTAGTTCAATCAAATTCACAATATGTTCATCATTTAAATTCATCTATATTTGATTTTTTATCTTCATCAAATATTTCCTTAACTTCAATGATTTATAATGATCAAACAATTAATCTTCATAATTTTGGTATAACTAATATTGAATCAGATACATTTATTCATAATCATAGATTAATTCAAACAATAATTCTTTCATCAAATTCACTTTCTTATCTTCCAAATCATCTTTTTAAACCATTTAGTAAAACTTTACTTAATCTTAATTTACAAAATAATCAATTTTTATCTCTAACAAATAATTATTTTTTACGTCATCTTGAACAATTACGTACACTTGATTTAAGTAAAAATTCTATCAAAGAAATTTATATACAAGATTTTCTTGGTCTGAAACATTTAGATACATTAATATTACGTGATAATAAAATAACTTATTTATCATATGCTACGTTTACTTATTGTCAAAAAATAACAACACTTGATTTATCAGATAATAAAATATCTATGATGGATTTCAATGCATTTTATTTATTAAAAAACTTAAAGATTCTTTTATTAAATAATAATCCATTAGGACAACGTTCAATGACAAATTCTTTAATGAAACCATTAAAAAATCTTCAATATCTTGATCTTGAAAATACTCAATTAGAAAATCTACCTCCATTTCTATTTCAAACAAATCATCGATTACAATCAATTAAATTACGACGAAATAATTTTCAAACAATATTTAATAAATCTTCAAATTATAGTTTAAAACGTACGTTTTGTGGTGCTCGTTCTTTAGTTGAAATTGATCTTGTTAGTACAAATATTCGTTCACTTGATGTTTGTACATATTATCGAATTTCATCATTACGTCGTCTTTATTTAATGAATAATCCACTTCATTGTACATGTGATTTATTTTATTTAAAATATGGAGATATTTATCGTCTTTTATCAAATAATAAAAATGAAATTGATAATGAACAATATGCTAATATTGATATATATCTTAATCGTTGGGTATCAAAACTTGAACTTCGTCGACATTTAGAAAAAGCACATGAACGTGGTGATTTTTATCGTTTTCCAATTGAACTATCATCATTTGCTCGATGTGCGACACCAAAAAAATGGCATAAATATGAAATAAATAATATAACAGGAATATATAAACAATGTCGACATCGATGGTTAGCTATTGAACATGACTGTCAAAATTATTGTCAAGTACAAAATCATAAGGAAATATCGTTAACAACCATTCGTTCGATTTCATCCAGATTTATTCATTGTGATTATTCATCTTATTCGATCATTAATTTTTCTTTATTGTTAATTTGGTTTTTCTATCACCGGTGATAGTTTTTGTGCTTTAATAAATAATATGTTACAGTTTAGATAGAGTGTCGTTCAATTATCGAATATTTGCTAAAAAAAGATCTTTTTTTTAGAATTTTGTATTGAATTCGATATGATGTCATTTATTGAACTAAGAGTAGAAAGTAATTGAAGGTTTATCAATTCTATCGAACGGTGGTGAATATCGTTAAAAATTAGTTCCGTTCTTAGGAACTGTATAATAGTTCTTTTGACAGGAACTGAACTATCCTACCCCTAGTCAGTGGTCATCTATCTTGTGTTTTGGTATTAATATAATGAAAAATGCTTCAAAATGATCATTACGAAGTGTGTGTGTGTGTGTGTGTGTGAGTATGAGTATCTGTGAGGATGGGCGTATGCGGGTGTAGGTTTGTATCCCTGATCTGCACCCACCCACACCCACACCCACACCCACGCCCAAAGAAATACATCTATACTGTAGTACGACAAAAAAAGGCATGACGAGAATAAATCTGATATATATTTATTGATTAATCCATATAAATTATTTTTATTTAATCATATGAAAACTGTGTAATATAAATTAATAAACATATATGTGAAGTTATTTTAGTTGATGTTTGTATATAAAATAATGTTTATTTTTTTTATCTCATATTCATATGGATTGACATGTGATAATGTAGGTAAATAAAACGAACAAACAACGAATATATATATACATGTACATGTACATTAACATCAATAGACAGTCTTATTTGTATTAACAGAATAAGAAAAAGTAATCGATAACAATCGTTTAAATAGATGTGAGTATCTTCGAGTATAAATAGATGAAGCGTAGAAATATTTCATTTGAAAACTTTTCAAATATATTATTAAAACAATTTTTATCTTTAGAAAACAACTTTTTTTAAATTTTTTAATAAATTAATATGATTTATTCTATTTAGATAATTATCGAAATTCTTTAAAATAAAAACATCAATTATTATTGAATTAGAATCAAAAAATTGCAATTAAACAAAAAACTATTTCAAAGAATACAGGTAAAATATTTTATTTTTTAAATAAGGTTTATTTTTTAATTTAAAATATTTAAAAATTAATTTTTTAATTCTAAAATCAGGCGTGACTGTATCTATCTCAATGAATAAAATATGTAAATAAACATATTAAATATACATTTAATAGGATAAAGAGTTGATTTATTTTTATCCCAATTAAGGTCACATTGTCCTTTAGTTTTTTCACTAGATTTTTTATTTGGTTTATTCAAAAACTGTTAACATTTTATGAATTCATTTTGATGTTATCATCAAATAAAAAGTATTCTTAAATTTCAAATATAAATTAATTAATAAACAAAGAATTTTTATCGAATTTTACGTAAGATTCTATTTCAGTTTATCAAAGTATAAAATTATTTTCGTTTGTATTTATTAATTTGCATTATAATATTTTATCATATAAAGCATACTTTTAATTATTTATTATTAAGATTAATAGTATATTAATCGTTTCACGTTCAGATTTTCTTTTCGAAAAATCAAACTTTGTAAAAATCATATTTGCATACAATACTTTTTTCTTTCTTAGAAAAAAAAGTTGATCTTTGTAGAATAGTTTTTCTGTATAGATAAAATTTCTATGAATAAAAATGTCAAATAAATAAGAGTAAACGTTTTCTAAGTGCAAAAAATATCGTATTGACGTTTTATTTTCGATAGATATATGCGAACGCATTCATGCATATCAAAAAGACAAACAGTTAGGATAAAAGAATTTTCAAAAATCAAATCTAATTACATATATATCATTGTTATATCTTGAGTAAATATTTTTAATAAAAATGATTGCTTCTGTTTTATTTAAATATTATCAACATAATTAAGTAATTTTTTAGTTTGTATGACAAATATTAATCAAACGTTAGAAATATGGAAAACAGTAGACTCGACGACGTAAATGACTCATTTTCTTTTTTTCGTTCTGTCACTTTATTATATTGTACATACTGTATGAATATTTTCACCTATATGTATAATATCCTCATATGACAGAATTAGAAAAAAAAATATCTACAGTTTTAATGAATGAATAATCGATATTTTTATCATGTTTGAGTGATTTTTTTGCTGAGACATCTGTACACAATCAAAATAAGAGAACGAAAATAATGAATTATCTGATGAATATTTTTAATATTGATATAAAAAATCAAATTCGATGTTGAGAAATAGAAATTCTATAAAAGATAGAAAGGGTTTGAAATGATTCTAAAGTGAAATAGATTAATAATGAATATATTATTTTTTAAATAATTAGGTTAAAAATGTCATCAACATCAATGTATGTTCCAACATTTGAAATCAATCAAAATCAAATGGAAAATCTTATTCATTTTATATATGAGAAGGAACAAATATTAAAAGAATATGGTGCAATTAAAATTACATTAAACCAAAACTGTAAATTAGCTTTAAAAAAACGAAAAAAGATACCTTCAAGTTGTGAAATAAATAAACAAATTGTAAAGATGACCGAAAATAATCTTATCTATTCCGTAAAAACAGTCGATCAAATAAATGAACATGATATAAAACAAAATTATTTAATAAAAAATGAAAATGATTTTTGGTCATCATTATCTTCTTTGAAGTCTAATAATGAACAAAGACAATTAAATATATCATTTTCACCAAATAATAGTTTCTTTCTTCAAAAAACATCTCGCCAATATTTTGATATTCATCGTTTACCTAGAGAATCAATTTTGAAAATAGCTGGAAAAGATGTTTTAAATAAATTTGTTCCATGTATTAAAAGAGCTCATGGATCTTCTTCGATTTTTCCATTAACTTCTGCTGATCAACATTTATTTTCAATCGATTATCATCATGAAGGTGGAAATCACCATTGGTATGTTATACCTAATTCACAACGAGATTTTTTTAAAAAGATTCTTGATAAACAAAATTTATCTATTGGATGTCTTGACCATGGGCAAATACTTGTTGATCCTTTGCTATTAGATAAAAATCAAATTCGTTATCATAAAATAATTCAACATTCAAATGAATTTGTTGTTTTATCATCTGGAACTCTTGCACAATCTTTTACGGAAGATTCGAGTTGGTCTGAATTTATTAATTTTGCTTTACCGAGTTGGATACAAGATAGTCATGCATATAATTCACGTTCATTATGTCAATGTCAAATTTCAGATCAATCTTATTTATCAAAATTAATTGATTTGAATTTATATCCAAGTGTTCTTGTACAAAAATATATAAATTCATCAGAAAATTCTATAAATAGTGGTACATCAATATTATTAAGAGGTTTAACATTGATAGATTTCTAAATTATTTTTTAATTTTATTTTAGATGAAACTGATGTAGATATATTTACAATGCCAACAGCAAACAACAGTTCAACTAATTCCATAAATGGTATTTCATTTTTAAAATAATTGAAAGATTAAACTAATATTAATATATAGATAGGAGAAATAAGAAAATTATTTAAAATGACCTCAGTATTATACAAAAATTGATTTAACAGTTAGAGGGAAATTATTTTGAGAAATCTATGTGTAGAATAAGAGTCTCATCTTTTCACTTATGTTTATAATAAATTCCGTTTTGACATATATTTTTCATTTAATACACAAGATTTTCTATAAAAATATTTTTAATTACATTAATTTTTTAAATAGATCAATATTAGTACATAATAAACGAAAACTTTAAAAATTTGTCATTAGACAACTTATATACAGCAGATGGCTCATAGGTAACGAGAACAGTATTTTTTTTATTTCTATCTTATAGATCGTCCACTAATTCTCATATTTATACTACATACGTTAGGTAATATAAGCCAAAGATGTAGCATATAAATAATATTAAGATGTAGTATAATTTGTTGAAAAGCTTACAACTGTATCTTAACTGTTCTTATGTAAATATAAGAGAAAATCAATGTTCTTTCGAGTTCCATCAGATTTTCATATTTTTATTTCTTTATTTCAATCTATAAAATCAATTCGATTTCGCTAAATTTAGTATTTATTTAACCTAAAAGAAATCAAATCAATTAAACTGAATTCATTTCACACACCGAGATAAAGAGATAAAAATATGAAAATCCAATGAAACTCGAAAAAACATCGATTTTCTCTTATATTTACATAAGACCAGTTAAGATATATCTGTACGCTTTTCAGCAAATTACTGCACCATAATATTGGTCATATGCTCCATCTTTGACTTATATCATCCAGTATATATATATATATATATATTAGAGGAAAAAGAAATAGAAAATTTCGAAGTAAAAATGTTTGCAATTGAAATAATAAATAAATAGGGACCAAGAAATCTGCATCTATTCAGATGGTTTATTTGAAAATCCAAATTTTTTTTGAAAGTTTTAATTTTACGCATAAATTAGCTCTTTTCAGCCGAACTTTCATTTGGGATATTGAGAAAGTAGAAATCTTTTATATAATATAGCAGTTTATAGATATATCATAAGTTTACTACGTTTTTCTTCTGTTCTATATTACTATAATTGAATAAGATGATTCTTTCTACTAATTTAGAAAAAACTATGGAATCGACAAACGTGAATGTCAGTTTACCACAACATGAAATTCTCTCAAATTATAAATCACCAGCAAGTACATTGATAACACCGTCTGCTAGTAGTTATGCATCTGAAGATGATCAAGAAAAGTTTAACGATAACAATGATCAAGTTCAATATGAATTATTAGAGTAAGTAAAATACGTGAAAAATTCACTTTTCTACGCATGAACATACATAACAAATCAAAAAAATATTTATTTTGTTTTAAATATTTTTTGCGTGGATCATTACTGAAACTTGTTATTCTATATATATCGATGCAAGTCTTAAGAAATAGTTTTAGTTTGTTCTTATGAAGACAACTTTATTACGAAAATCAATTAAAAAATAACTGAGAATTTCTGTACAATGTAGGAAAACGTATATCTCTGAAATCTATATATGATCTTATAAAGTTTATAAAAGATCCATCAGCGTATCATAGAGTTTATCGTGAACAATATTTATAACGTTATCTTCACTCGCATATTAATAGATTAAGTAATTTCGGCAGAAGGTATTGAGAAAAATAAATAGAATTCGAATTATTTTGAAAATCATTTACTTTTTTAAATTGCTTTATACTCAACATTTTTTGTTCATATTTATCTTATTGATCTAAAAATAATTTTTAAAGATATTTTTTGGTAATTTGTGTTGAATATTTTAATTTCTCGTTCAAATTTCATTAGCCACATTAAAAATGTTAGAAGAAATGGAATTTTTGAAGACTCTTAAGGTATGGCAGGATGCGGAATAAAGGTGTGGGAATCGTTCTTTCAAATCGTAAAAAATATAAATTTTCTCCTTTAAGATAGGATGTGTATTGGTACGATTACGAACTAAAGAGAGAATCTGAAATTTGATTATATGATATATTGTCAAGTACTATTATATGTGTTTAACTCTCTTCTTGAACCTTACATAATCTCATGTTTTGTCGCTTAAAAAATGCGCTGAAACTGATACTAAACTAGATTAATGTGACAAAAATTGTTTCAAAATTCTCTGCAAAATATCAGTTTCAATGGAATATATAGTTGTAGAGTAAAATATATCAAACAACACTATAGATTTGTTGAGATCATTTCTTTGTTGTTTTATACAAGAAAATTAGGATATAGACCGAAGGTTCATCGTTTAATTAAAAAAAGTTAGATAAAAAAACTTTTGATCTATACCTTCGTGTGAGTTTTTGGACTTCATAGGTTGTTCAAAATCTAACCACGTTTGTTTTTATGTTGTAATCGAAATGATATATTATCACACTTTTTTCGACAATTTTGTTTTGAATAAGTTCGTAATCATTATACAATCATAGTCATTGAGCATAAGAGTAACATAATTATATATATCAATATTGATCTGTGAATATTTTCTTTATCACAATCATCTAATAATCTAGATAAAGTTGAATAATAGATTATATCGTATAGGTGCATTTACTAGATAATATTTTATAGATTAGCAACAGTAATTGTATTTTATTATTTTTAAATTTTTAGACAAGGTAGTGTTTGTAATGCATTCGATCAGAACACATCTGACATAGCCTTCGTCGACTCTATGTTGGACGAGTGTCTATCTAAATTAAATACAGACTCAAGTCAAATTTACCAAACTACTACTGCATCTACAAACATCTCTGATGATTTTCTCTCTTACGAAGAATTAATGGATATATTACCTTTCACTGAAGATTGTGGTGAATCAACACGCAGTCCATTTCATGAATGTGTCAGTAGGGTAAGTTTTAGTCATAAAAAAGAAGGTATTAATCGAGCTCATTTTTTTGATGAAAAGAAATACGACGCGACTATCTTACACATAGTTATAAAGCAAGAGAAGAGGTAAAACATAATAGCTATGTTCCTCGCTTTTTTTTGTGCTGTTACCTTGCTCAGGAAGTACAACAAAAAATGTATTGAATAGTATTAATTCAATTCTTGCAAACCGAGATTGTTCATCAAAACATAATTCAATGCTTCGATTGAAGCTATCTAATTAATTAATAGAACTAAAAATTGATCAATCATCATTGATCTTTTAACCTATCAAAATAGTATTTCGAAAATTTATTAAAAATTTCTAGTTTTCTTTTTCTGTATATTCAATATTGTTTAAATTTAAAGTCTTACGCCTGTTTCAAAATATTTTTGTTCTTTCGACTGGAGGGAGGGTGATACGAAAAATACCGAAACGCATATGTCTGTTTATCATTCGAGTACTCAACAGAATGTTAAATAGTTTAGTAAATCTGCTTTTTTATTCTCAGATGGCACTGACATCGTTCTTTTAAAAAAGGGACAGTGAATCTAAAGGATGAGAGTTGCTTGTATTTAAATATTTCTGATAAATGTTATGATTTTCTCAAAAAAGCCCAGGACTCGAACAGTTACTTCTATTAACCTGAAGATTTATTTAGAGTAGTACATCAACATTTGCGAGCAATACACATACAGAAACTGTTAGTACGCAAACCCATGTCAGAAGAAGTCAAATCTTTGATCCAGCAATACATGATTCTAGAATATTATTTGTTTCCGGATTAAAAAATGATGTGAATAAGAATAATATACGCCGTCATTTTGTTGGTTGTTTAAATGTAACAGTAAAGCAATATCACACTACACCACGTTTTAAGTATGTCATTAACATTTTTTGTTTAATAATTAAAAGAGTTTTCGGTGTTTTAGATATGCTTTTATTACTCATCGTACAGCAAGAGAAGCTGAAGTCAACCTTCGACGGTCCATTGATTTGCATCTTCTTGGCCCTGCATGCCATATCGAATATGCTAATAAGCGTACAATGGGCACTAGTAGTCAGCAAAGTCTCGGCAAGAAGAAAATTCTAGTTCGCCAAATACCACCAAATGTTAGTGAGAATGATTTGCGTCAAATGTTTGGCAATTGTCATATCGAAAAGTATTATCCGGCAGCCATTATTTCTCATGAAGCAACAATGACAAAAACGAAAGATGTTGCTAATATTTCATCGGGGTAAGAAGAAAAAAAACTATATTTTAAAAAATACAACCATAAGTACTATCGAATCAGATGAGGTGCCAATACAAATACACTAATTCCGAGAATGACGATAGTCGTTATTCACCGTTTTTATATTTTATCCACTAGTATCATAGAAAAATAACAGACAGAGAGTATATGAAAATATTTATATTTTCTCAGTTACTTCCAAATAAGATTATTATCATCATTGTATGTCACGAAACAATTGCTGTTTATTAGAGATTTTTACGGCAATCGTTTTCATTATTTTCGTGTTGTTATGTGTAACTCTTAATCACACTTCTGAATAGTTCTATTTCATTTAATATCTAATTAACTCGTGTATCACTTCATTTTTTATAGGTACGCCTATATTCGCTTCGATCACGAAGAACAAGTAACTTATACCATTGAACATGCCAATCAATACCAGATCAACGGTCAATCACTAATTGTTTCCTTATGTCGACATTAACCGTGCTTATGTACAATGCTAAATGGACATTTTGCCAATTAATCATGCATTTTATGTTAAAATATGTAATAAATATTATTGTTATCTAAAAATACACTACAAAACAAAGGATGAATAAGAGTTGAATTGTATTGAGTCTATTTCAAATAGCAACACAATATCAGTTCAGCTATATGAACAGATTCGGATCAACCTATTATTATTTCCTCGATTCAAGATAGAATGATATGGAAAAAATTCCAGATACGTTTGTCTGCATGTTTACCACAGGCCAAAGGTGTAAAAAATATTAATAATATGAAATCTAATTTTTGTGAAAGGTTTCGCTACTCGCCTAATCAATATTTATTATCAGTTTTTTTGAAATTTTCAGGTTTGATTTGTTCAGCTAAGAGAAGGCTTTTTGTTATAGGAAAATGATGATATTTCTTCCACCGAAGAGACAGGCATACGGAAAAAGTTAAAACGCGTTTGGCTGTTGTTAGCAAATCAACCGTCAAAGGTCAAAACAACGTTTGAGCTTAAAAGTTTAAATTTGATATAATGTATCAGTCGGTCATGAGCATCGTTTTTCTTCGCTGTTCCTCGAGTAAAACATTTCGCTCTTCGGCCGATTACCAGGTTCTGAACTGCGCTCTTTCATTTCCTCAGTCACCAACCGTTTTCTCCAAGAAATAGCATACCCACTCACAACCACATCCATTACAAGAAGTCATGATATTTAGTATTGTATACGAAAGCGTAGTTTGTCAGAGTGCTTCAACGGGTTGCAAGAAATCGATAGGTAAAACATCAAGCTTTGTCTTGATTTATAGATGTCATATACAACGTCGAGCAATCATGAGTGACAGACTATAGGAATCCCCGCGACTTACTAAAAGATTGTTCTCACAGTTTCTTTGGGAAATCTTCAATGGGAAGCTAAAAAAATTGGTCTTTAATGAAAAAGACAAAACTGATTATATTATGTGTCAGAGTTCGAATGTTCGTTACCTCGTGGTCTCTGCTATATTGTAGAAAAACGACGAATATATCTAGAGGCCGGCCCATAGATAACACTCCGATAGAAGATTTAAATATCTCTACTTCGACTCGATCAAATCGGCTGATGTTTTGATAATTAACAGAACTTTACTGCAAAAAATTTCCCATACTGATGATATAAGTAAATACTACAGTTTAGTACTATGATTGGCCTTGTGAAAGGAATTATATCTCTTAGCAAGTAAGAAAAAATACATGTGAAAAACTTTATGGATAATTTCTAGCTGTTATCTGAGAAAATGATACAACGAAAGCAAAACAAACTATATATGTTATACTACATTGATGTACATCGAGACAATTCTCAAGCTCGTTGGTTTAAAACTCAACAGATACAATATCTCCAAATTTTTCTGGTCACTTGCTGTTTCAAAACCTGAAACCTTTTATTCGTGCTTTTCGACTGTCAAATACGAGTTTCTGCATATAAACAAAATAGCTTTGAAAATTCTCTCGATGTACGTCAACGTAGTATTACACATAACATTTGTTTTGATTTCCTTTTGTCATTGTCTATCATAACAACGAGAAACTATCCACAAAATGCATCAGATACATTTTTTTTACTTGGTGCTAGGTGAAATTCTTTTACGATGCCAATCCTAATATTTAATATTATTATTTACTTATATTGTCAGTATGACAAAACAAATATGAATAAAGTTTGACAAATAATCCAAAAATCAGCCGTTTCGACCAAGCCGCAGTTGACCTATTTAAATCTTCTGTCGAAAGCTTATTTACAGCCACTTTGTCTATAACTTATATGGCATGCTGAGTGACAGTGTGAGTAATTTTCAATATCTCTCTTAATATTCATAACTTCGAAATAAAGTTTTTCCGACGATGTCGTATATAGTTCTCTACAAAACGATGCACATGTAGATGCCATACGAGTAAAGAGAATATTGTAGTAACACTGAGAATGTGCAATATCCACAACTTTCAAAGCACTTCTGCTCACTAGCCAGACTGGATGACCATCACGTCATAGACGGAACCGACCTGATCTCTTGATAACTGGTACCGGCGCCCTCTCTCGATGACGACGTAAGCAAGTATATACCCGAGTGGGAATGTCCGTACGAGCACCTACCTTTCTACCTACCGCCCACTATTACATACAACAACACCCTGCCACTCACGCACATTCGACTATGCCCAGGCACACAAATCTCACCCATCCATGTACAACCGCACCTCAATCCTCGCAAACATTCATCCATACCCACGCATACACACACTCTCACACTCAATTCTAAAATTACATTAACCACCCCAAAAAAACAACAATAAAATGTCACTTTCCATGAATGTCCCATTCGTAAATATCATCTTTATTACCGATAGAACACGCCGCTATCCAAAGCCATTCGACCATGTCAGCCTCTACATTCCAACAATAATCGCTAGCACAAACTTACTGCCCGAAAGATGGGTAGGAATATCAGATATT